CGCGGGCCGCTCCCGCCTCCCCGGCCCGGCCGCTCGGCGTCAAGMGAGTGTCCCCGTTAAATCTTGCGCTTAACCGTTTATAGCCCTCGGATGCGGAGTTAAAGCCCAAACCAGCGTTCTTTTCCGCGGCAAAGCAGTTACAGCATCAGTCCCGCGATGCCGCTAGTTAAGCCTGTCACTGCTCCGAGGCGGTGGCAGGAGACAAGTTATTTCCCCGAGAAATCCGCGGATCATCTGGGATGTGAAATTATCCGGGCTCAGCTCAGTGGGGCTCCACGCTCGTGAACCCGAGGAGGTTCAGTTCGCTGAACAACCGCGCGTTATTCTCGCTGGTTTAATTATAAGCCGGTTCTGTGCTAAGCCCGCGAGTTCACGGCTTTTCCGGAGCCGCGCGCGCCTGCCTGAGGTGACCCAGCGCTAAGCGTGRCGTTGCGGGCACGTCTGTGTGTTTAACTGACTGCAGAGCAACAAGGCCGAGAGGCTGGAGCGGCCGGAGAGCTGCGACAACGTGAAGGTGGTGGTGCGGTGCCGGCCGCTCAACGAGCGCGAGAAGGCCACGGGCTACAAGATGGCAGTCAGCGTGGACGAGATGAGGGGCACCATCACCGTGCACAAAACCGACTCGTCCAACGAGCCCCCCAAGACCTTCACGTTCGACACGGTTTTCGGGCCGGAGAGCAAACAGCTGGATGTCTATAACCTGACTGCGAGGCCTATTATTGACTCGGTGCTGGAGGGATACAATGGTGAGTCCTGTGTTGTTTAAGTCAAGGGTTCTGTCTTGGGTTCTTGCTGCTCTTAGAAATGCTCCTGAGCTTGCCGCACGTCTCCCGGAGCGAAGGCTGTAGCCCTGGGTTGTTTCTGTTGTGGCCTCTAACATAAAACAGCCTGACTGCTGCAGGTACCTGCAGACCTTTACCACCATGGCCAATCTGTAATCCTGCTGTAATCGTTAACATCAGTGATCACTGATGAGCTAAGATCCATTAGCTATGGTTTTTTCCTTTATCTTTTTTTTTTTTCCCCATTTTATATCTCTGTTTGAAAAAAGAATACATTTTATTTCATTATCAGAATTCTCRGGGCACTTAAGTTTCAGTAGCCAAGCAGCTGCCGTGGTCCTGCAATAACTAGGTATGCACACCAGTCTTGAAATRCAAGGGCTGCATTTTCCTTTCTAAACCGTGCTGTTTTAAACTAAGATCCGTCTGCTGTACCCCACAAATAATCCAGTGTTTTGTTTTGTTTTTTTACCAATGGGATGAATGTGACTACTGTATACGCGTGTGTTTCTATTCTGCATGTAAATATCCTTTGTAAGGGAAAGAGGAAGGAAGTAAATTGCTACTTTCCATAACAATGTTATGGCAACAGTAAGTTACAGAGTTTCTGAAGGTTTGTGTAAGGTGCATAATCTGCTCTTGTACTAACACGCCCGGGTTTTAGCTGATGTAAAACTGAGCCTGTCTGAAGCACAGGTGCCTAACTGTGCTTCCCTGCTTAGACTTGCCATTCAAGAGAAATCTTAGAGTTTTCAGCAGTGCTGGGCCATATTTAAGCAGCAGTGTGTTTCTGGAGAGCCCGGGTCTGGAATCTCAGCATTCCCTCTGTTTTCCTGTGCACCTGCCTGGTCAGAGCTGGGCTCGCAGTGCAGCCTGGTTATAGAAGCCTCATGTTGTTTCCGCTGTGGTTTAGTATACTGGGAATAGTTGGTTTTGCATTTTGCATATAATTCTTCTAATTGAGTGTGCTATTAAATTGAGCTTGTCTTAATTGTACTTGCACTCTGTTCTTTAACCTTTCTGCAGTTTTAAAAAGAGCAGAATTTATTAAATATCTTGCAGGCTGGGTTCTCAGCTCTGTTTGCTGGTTCAGCATTTTTATTTCTCCTACCTTTGTACAGTAGCTACTAGGAGAAGTTGTCAAGCTTTAATTCTGCAAAACTAAAAATGTAAGTGCTATCATGCAAATAATTGATGAGATAAAATGGCAAAGTTACCAGCTTCTGAGAGTTTATTACTCTTTTGTGTCTGTGTGTACTTCAGGTACTATTTTCGCGTATGGGCAGACTGGAACAGGGAAAACTTTCACCATGGAAGGCGTCCGAGCAGTTCCTGAGCTTAGAGGAATTATTCCCAACTCCTTTGCCCATATCTTTGGTCACATTGCCAAGGCAGAGGGGGATACAAGGTAAATATTTTCTCTTTACTACCTCTGTCTTTTGTTCTTGCCCCTGTAGTAAAAGCCCTGAAATTCTGCCTCTGTCCCGACTAAAAGACTCCTCCCAAAGCAATTCCTGCCTGGATAGAGCAGGACTCTATTAGTGTTGCTTCATTTTCTTTGCATTATGTGTTTGTATATGTCGGACTTCAACAAATTCTGAAGGTTTCTCACCCACTTGTCTTCCCTCAGGTTTTTGGTCCGTGTGTCTTACCTGGAAATTTATAATGAAGAAGTACGAGATCTGCTAGGAAAAGACCAGACCCAAAGGCTAGAGGTGAGCCTGCTGCTCTCCATTTCTGCTTCTCTCTTGTAAGTCACTGAGCAGTGCTGTCTTTTTAAAGACCAGAGACAGCTCTTGAAGGAGGAGTGGGAGGTTGAGCTCCTCACATTGCTCCTTTTTCAGAGGTGCAGTAGCTGGAACTGTAAAAGTGCAGTCCCTTGGCTTCTCTGAATCCCTTCCCTTTGGTCAGCTGTGTAGTGAGAAGCTCTCTCTCTTACCTGAGTGTGAGCGGTTCCGTCCCAGACATCCCTGACAGTAGCTGCAGAAATTAGAGGGTGTGATTTGAAGCCCCTGTTTGGCACCAGGGGAAACCAGTGCAATATTGACCTGCATGACTCTTCCTTAGCTGCTCCAGTTCAGAGCATTGGAGTATCTTGTGTCCAAGCAAGAACCTGGGGAAGTAAATTACTGTATTGTTACAGTGTCATTGAAAACTGCTATTCAGGGCTCTCCCAGGGATGCTCCATCTAAACTATTTCTCTCTTAGGTTAAAGAGAGACCTGATGTGGGAGTTTATATCAAAGACCTGTCAGCCTATGTCGTAAACAATGCAGATGATATGGACAGAATCATGACTCTGGGCCACAAAAACCGTACGTAGCATTGCTGTGAGCAGGGTTTTAGCTCTGCTGTGCCAGACTGCATCACAGGGTGAAGAGTTGGTAGTGAGTTACCCCAGTAAGGCGTTTTACTGCTAGTCCTGATACAGGAAAGCTTTTTCAGCTGAGCAGAAGCAGAAGGGGTTTGGGAAGGACCCCTTTTGAGCAGGGATAGGTGAAGAAGGCTGGGGTCTCCCACATCGGTCCGCCCCAGAGCGTCATGGCAAAGGCGAGTGYCTCGGTTCTTCTGCTCTTCCAGCTCTGATCAGGGTGAACAACAGCTAGCCTCGGCTTGTGCTGTGCTTAGGAAGTGGTCTGTGTTTTCTTGAAGACCTCTTGGTTAAGCCCAGATCCTTTTACAGAGCAAAGCTCTGTCTTGTTATCGCTCCTGGCACAAATTGCTTCATCTCAATTTTTCAAAATATAAACATCTCCAGGTCCACCTTAGGCTATTGGTTTTTGCAGTTTTAAAAAGAAACAAATGGGAACTCCCACTGCTTTGGGAACGGGAGCTTGCCATATGCACGAAACTGGAGCAGGCAGCAATGCTGCTGCTAGTCCAGCCTGGAGATGGCTGCAGTGTCAAAGCCCAAGAATGTAGTTTGTGGCTGAGTCAGAGCATCCCTTTTCTGTCCTCTGATAAACAGGCTTGGGCAGAGGCAAGTGCTTTGACAGCAAGAGTGTTAGGGAGCGTGTGATTCTTCCTGCAAACATCATTGCTGTTTCCCTTGCTCCCAAACGAAGGTTCTGTTGGTGCCACGAACATGAACGAGCACAGCTCCCGCTCGCACGCCATCTTCACCATCACCATCGAGTGCAGCGAGAAGGGCGTTGACGGCAACATGCACGTTCGCATGGGCAAGCTGCACCTCGTGGACCTCGCGGTAGGTGGGAGCGGCCAGGCCCGCGTCATGCTGGGGGTCACTGCTCACCTGGTCACGCTGCGAGGATCTCGTTTTACAGGCTGAATAAAGAGTGTGGCCCCTGTCTCGCTGGTAAAGCCCTTTGACGTTTGGTTTGTGTAGTACTTGCCTCAGGGCTTTAAACCAGCCTGCCAAAGGCTTTAGTGTGACTAGAGCCTTGCCTAATGAAAGGGCTCTCTTCTCCAACTTAACTATCAGATGGATAAGCTACACTTGAAGGAGCGCTCTGGACAGCAGACCCAGCTCTTTGCAAGAGTGTTTTTGTTTTTGTAACCATGTCAGAGGGTTGTGACCTTGCAGTGTCGCTCTCCCAAGCTGCYTTCCTCCCTCTTTCACCCGCTTTGAACAAGTGTAGCTGCACTAGGGAAATGTTTCTCTGTAGCCCAGACCTTACCTCCTGAAAGGGAGAATGTTAAGGAAATTAGCAAATATATATATTTGCTATATATAAATATAAAGGAAAGGGAAGGCTAAATATAAAGGAAAGGGAAGGCTAGTGGCACTGAATGCCTGCATCTTATCTATTATTTATCTATAGGATGTGTGTTTAGATGGCTCTGTTAAGCTCCCTGTAAAACAATTGCAGTGTTGCTTTGTTCTTCAGCTGCATTTTGCAGCTGCACCAGAGGTGTCCAGGAACAAGCGTAACATTTCTGCTACTAGGGTAATATGCCTTTTTTTCCAGTTGTGTTGGTTTATTGTGAACAATCCAGAATCTGATGAAATTGAAAGCTTCAGTTAAGACCCATTTGACTTGTCTCTTTAACCATATCTGATATAATTAGCTAGGTCTCTAATGATAAGGTGGTTGATGACATGGCTGCCAACAATACAATTGAGGGAAGCAAGTAGATTAGGGTATCTTTTGCATTTTTCCTGTGGATCTGCTTCATGTTATTCCTTTTCCAGGGCTCTGAAAGGCAGGCAAAAACTGGAGCCACAGGACAGCGACTGAAAGAAGCTACCAAGATCAACCTTTCTCTTTCTACTCTGGGAAACGTCATCTCGGCGCTGGTGGATGGCAAGAGCACCCATGTACCCTACCGTAACTCCAAGCTTACACGGCTCCTTCAGGACTCCCTTGGGGGCAACTCCAAAACCATGATGGTAAGCTGGAACGGCCCTGCGGGGATCGGCCCGCAAGCTGAGAACAACCTGGTGTTCATGCGTTTATTTCAGAGCTCTGCACAGTTCAAAAAAATTTATGTGCTCTTTCTATCCTTCCTGTCTGCCTGTGTGCAAGAGGCTCTCAACACGGTGCAAATGAATGCATGTACATGAGATCAAACAATTTTTCTTGGGTAGATGAAAAAAACCTTAGTGTGCAGGCAGCAGGAAAGTCTGGGAAAGAATGGCACTGAGACTGGCAGAGCGAAGGAGAAGTCCCTCTAAAGTTGCTTGTTCCGGGCTCTGACATTCCTGGTGTCTAATTCTGTCCTCTGCTCCCTGCTTCGGTGTGGGACAGTGCGCGAACATCGGCCCCGCAGACTACAACTACGACGAGACCATCAGCACCCTCAGGTACGCGAACCGAGCCAAGAACATCAAAAACAAGGCCAGGATTAACGAAGATCCCAAAGATGCTCTGCTCCGCCAGTTCCAGAAGGAAATCGAGGAGCTTAAAAAGAAACTGGAAGAAGGTGAGATTCCTCCTTTACTCCTAGTGCTTCTCTCTGCACCAAGGCTGGTTCTGTTCTGGTGTGAAAAGTCCCTTTTTGGAGATGTGCCCCATGAGCCTTGCCCGCTAGGTGGCACTTGGCCTTAGTGCAAGGCCTTGRCTTCTGGGGGGATCTTGGGGCCCTGGGCGCAGCCTGGTGAGCAGGAGAGGTCTGGCCTTTAAAAGCCTGGGAATAAAAGGTCAAAAGTTCTCCTTATTTTCCTTCTTTCCCTCGCTGCAGAACTCCCATAGATCAGGGACTCCCATAGATCGCTGCTTGAAGCCTCCCCCACTCAGGGGAAGTAGGAATCATCAGCACCTCTTTTCTTTGCGAGTTAGGAGCCTGGTATGGGCATTACCCCGCCATGGTGGGCAAAAAGTTTATTTGTTCATTTGGAAACCTGGTCTATGGAACAGTCAGCCTTGTGGTTCTAATGTGCTGGGTGGTTCGGGTGTTAAATGCTGGGTTTTGCTCCCTTTGGCTGCCAAATCAGTCTGAAACATCTCTCAGCATGATGTCTGCARTAGCAACAACAGTTAAAAACACTTCTGAAACAGGCCAGTTTCCTAATTAGCAGCCATCCAGTTTCATGTGTACAGATGTATGTTTAAGTAGCAAATATGAGTGAACTTTGTGCATCTGAGTGTTTTCTTTTGTGTCTCAGATTRCAGTGAAGATATTGGGAGATCTTATTAGCAAAACTTCATAGGTCAACTGCTCAGTAGTCCAAGAATTCTCTATTTCCAGCTAAAACTGCCCCTTTGAGGTTTAAATATGCTGACTTCACAGCATTGTGTGGCTTGTCTTAGATTTCCTGAGTCACCGTGAGCCTTCTGTGCTCTCAGCACTTAGTAAGTTCTGCAGCTGCTCAACAGCTTATGTCGAACCCTGCTGACTCTGGGCAAATGCTCCTGTCACGATATATGGTGAGAGAAAGTGCACCAAAAAGCACATCCTTCTCTTCTAGGGGAAGAGATTTCTGGCTCTGAGACCAGTGATTCTGAAGAAGAGGATGACGATGACGATGGGGAGATTGGAGAGGATGGAGAAAAGCGGAAGAAACGACGGGGTAAGGCAGATACCTGGTGGCTCTTGGTGCCACTAACCTCCTCTTATTCAGCAGTTGGTGTCTGAAATGGCAGCCAGAGCCACAGGGACAACAGTGCAGTCGGAGAGCTGCCCTAGTGCCACTGCAATTATCATGACTCTTCTGAAAGCGAAGCTCTCTGCTGTCGCTGTACGTGGGCAGCTCCAAGTCTGAGTGCTGTCTGCTTCCACTTGGGTAGTTGTGCTCGTGGTGACATCCTCTTACATGGTGATTCCCTGGTTGCTACAGAGTGGCTGTGTGTGGCTTGTTACTTTGATTTCAAACACTTGTATTATGGAACTTCCCCTGCTCCCAGAGATGGGAGGAGGAGGAGGACACCAAAGATTAGTGGTAGGAGATGTGGTTTTTATAACCATGGGAATGGTTAGAGGGGAATTTTAGCCATGGTATAGGCAAGAGATTCGTTTGTGTTTTGAATGTACCTGACTCTTCTAGTGTCCTATTTCATCTTATTTCATATTGCTAGGGGAAAAAACTTGGCTTTGGGGTGTCTGTGTGTTAGCCGAAAAGCTGACACCCTTCCTGCCCGCGCAATCCTCCCGAGAATGGACCATATTCAGAAGGTATTGAAACAATTAAAGGACAGATAGCTCTGACTTGCTTAGCTTTCAAAAAAGCTTCTCTGAGTTCCCTAAGCAAGGGTGCTGATGAGCAGGAGTGTGCTCAGTAAGTGTCACTTAGGAAGCTGGCCCTGCTCCCTAGAGGGAAGATGCACATTGCTGTGTGTGTAGGAGTGGAAAGGGCTCCCGGTCACCAAATCATCTGCTGCTGATGTCTGTGGCCTCCTCTGGTGTGATTTGGTATTCTGTGCTGTTGCTTATGATGGAAACAACCTTGGCATGTTGTTTTAAGTTACAGGCTGGTTAAAATGGGTTTTCACTGAACTGTCTTTCTGAGCATGCTATTTTGTGCTGATAAATGGTGGCTTTGCAAGCTGAGTCTGGGAGGGATTTTAGCAAATGCTTCCTAATAGAAAGATGTTTCTTTTTGAACCAGTCTGCCTTTCTGGGTTTCTTTCCTTTAGAACTAACTTCCATCTGCATGTTTCTTCTTCTCTGGGGGTTTTTCTGTGGGGCTCATCTCTGTTTTCCAGGCAGTAGCAGCAGCAGTAGTTCAGACTCCACATGCTCTGTCATAGAGAAACCTCTGGATAAGTCCTTCACTAGTGAGTGGGAGCTCTTAAGTCCTTTCAGCTTTGGTCTTTTCATGATCTGCACACTCCATTTTGCAATGCCACTGCTCCCCTGCTGTGCCTATTGGAAGGATAAGCCTGAGTTTATCACTTGGCTTAAGCATGCTTTTCCTTTGCTGCTTCCATGCTTGAAACAGTAGTTTAACATGCATACTCTGAGCTACCTCCTTGAAAGAATATGAAGCTATTTAGTATGTTGCTTGAACRAGACCTGAAGAAAATTAGGAAACTGTTTAAAAAGCAAAGACCAGCTCATTCCTTGCAGCTTCTGTGTTTTGAAYGTTTTCTCCTTAAAAATGCCAGTAAAGAAGCCATAGGAAACTTTTTTTTTTCTTCTTTTTATGGGAAGTGATGCAATATGAGCATTTAAGAAAGCACAACCTATTCTGTAGGTCTAGTTGTCAAAGTTAGGTTATTTTCACTATTAGGTTTGGAAAGAATGAGTGAAATTGTCAAGAGCAATAAAGCTACATTAGCTTTATACCTGCAGGGAAACCTTGAACGGTTTGTTTGGCTTGACTCCAGCAGACTTTTACCAAAGTGCAMAGAAATTTAACTGCCCAACTATATGGAGTGCTTGGCCACTGCCAGCTTAGTTCACAAAGGAGCAAGGAATTGAGATTCTGGGCTACCTGTGAGGGAAGTCTGGACTGATTCTCATCACAGATAAGACTTTTTTTTACCTTTAAAACCCTACAGTTGCTTAGGGATGGCTTTGGAGAGGCGGGGGAAAGAAAAAAGCCAAGTCAAATCTCAGGTGTTGGCCTACAGGAACGTGGCCACTGATGTTGTTCCCTTGTATGGACACTGTGGAGCCTCCTCCCTGTGCTAGGCGTGAAGGGTCTGGGAAGTCTTGCTCCTTAGTTATACTAAGGTAGAAGTTACTCTGGCCTCCTTAGTGGAAGGTGTCAGCTAAGGGAAAGTATGGGAGCAGTCAGGAAGGCTCAGGGCTTCAGGAAGACCTTTACTAGATCAGATTACGGTAGGCTTGGAATCCTGCTTGCTTTAACTTTGTTCTAAGCTCGCTTGAAGCCTGGCTGTTTGGATGAGGACAGTTAATAACAAACSGCTGGCAGTGAGTGGATCAATCCATCTCCCATAAGTTGGTGCAATGAGCTCCACTGTGGAAATTGCTTTGGGATCTCGATGGTGGGGAGAACTGGGGCTGTCTTATGTGCTTTGGGCTATTAACTGTCCTCATGGGTGCCCTTTTTGCATGTGGTGTCTCTCATCTTTTCTCTGTCCCCGCTGTGTTGTTGCACTTGCTTGAATAATGAAAASTGGCTATATATCTCCATGGAAGCACCAGTTACTGCGAGTTAACCCACTAATACCCTCCTGTGTAACTAAACAGAGGAGTCATCTGCTGAGGCTGCGTGTGCAATTGCCATAACTTGCAAAGAATTGGCTTGGAAACTGGCTTTAATCTTAGAACGAGTTCTTTGAGTTATAAGATTCTGCAGCTAATCTAACAGATTTGGCTACTTTGGAAAAAAAATAATCCCAAGTCTCCTSTTGAAGCAGAAATCTACTATCTTTGATTGTTTCTTAGAGCATGATCTTTGCGGCAGGCTCAGGATGTTGCCTTTAGATTCTGCACTGCATTGGGTGGGCAGGAGGATGCAGGAGCAAACTCAGGATTATCCTGGACGTGCATTTTTCTTTAGTACGGAACATTTCTCTGCTTGAGCACAAAATCACAGTGCACTGTTTTCTGTGATGGAGTCTTATTTCTTAATAATGATTCCGTGTTTTCTACTTTAGAAATAAGCATACAAAATACCGTTCTGATGTTGATGAGCTCTGTCTGAAGTGATCAAGTAATAACCTATTTTCTCTTTCCTCCCCTTTCCAAACATGCTGCCTCTCTGCGACTTGCTCTCTGCTTCCTTTTAATGCAAGATCAAGCAGGTTGGTGTAATTGATTTCCAACTCCCTATAATATAGTTACAGTTGTAAGACCCTTTTACAAGCTCTGTATCTAGTTGGGTTTGTCTCCTAAAATTGAGAATGTGTAGGGTTGTGTGCTGACAGGTAAGGAGCCTTCATCTATCTTATCTCTTTATATGGGGATTTCTGTACAGGTCTGTTTCCCAGAAAGCACAAACTTTTGAAACTTCTTGTCCAAAGAAGAGCTAGTGACATCTTCACCACACATCCAGAAATAAGTTCTTATTATCTGGCTTCAAAGTTCAGCAAATGGAACCTAAACCAGCGTTTGCCCTAGTGCTCAAGGCCGTGCCTTTCCACACAACTTGCATATTCTCTTGCGTGTGTCCATGAACAAAGTACATGCACATGCATATTTTTAAATACTGGCACACCTGTGACACTGCAGTCATGTGAATAGCAAATTGAATGCCATGGGGAAAAAAAATAAAGTTGCAGAGTTTTTATTGAACCAAACAGTCTTTCTCAAATACGTTTTTAAGCATGATGGATATTTCATGATAAGAGGTCCCGCCATAGTAGATGATTGCTGGGAGCTTCTATACTTGGATACTATAAGGAGTTTTTTCTGTGTATCTAGAGAAGAGCAAAAAATAGGATCTATCTCTTTGTAGTGAACAAGAGGGAATTTAAGAAATCCACCTAAGCTGTGCTCCCTCTCACTCCAAATTACCCCAAGGAGCCCTGTGTTCACCTGCCCCGGGGACTTGGAGAAGGTGATTGAGGTGTGTGGGAGGGGTTCTGCGTCACAACCTGAATTTTTTCTTCCAAAATCCCCAGTTTGGAAACAGCCCTTCAGGCTGCTGGGTTCAGTGAGTTGCTCTGGCTGCTTCCACTGCAACCCTTATCAGCTGTAACTCGTTCCTTTAGCGGTAGTTACATTTTAAAGACTCAGCTGATAAGTCACAGCAAATCTCACTACTTTCAGGTCTGTGGGTAGTCGCTGTCACAYAGATGAGACAGCATCCAAAAGCTTTCTCCTATGGCTCGTCACTTCCTAGGGCTGCTCTGAATTTCCCTGTTCTCTGTAATTTCACATTGATAGATTCTTAGAATATCTGTTTGCTGGCCGTGCAACAGATAACCCCATAAGGAGGGCAGTGAGCAAGAGTATTTGAAGGGGGAAAGGAAGAAAAATGCTCATCTGAAACTTGAGAATAACTCTTGTTCACATAAAAATTTGAGGATGTAGCTTAGGGCCATATTCTGTGTTCTTTTATTTGGCCCTAAGCTATGCAGCTTAGAACACTGAACACTGAGCTCTGAGTTTCTAGCTTGGGCTGATCTTCAGGTGGGGTTCTTTGCTGGCAGTGTTCCTTCCCCACAGGGATTTATTCTTCATGTGAGTGTTCTTGGGGCTTCATCCTTATTATTATTTACATAGAATATATATATATATTCTATTAATAGATTACTTTGGTTATTGTTTTATATTACTGGCTTGTATAGCAGTGAATTGCTTTATATACATAGTAATAGTATATGTTTAGATTTATAAAAGTTACAACTGGGCAGAGTTACGGTGGCATTTGAAAGATGCAGAGGCTCCAAGCTGGACACAGCTCTTGWGTTCTGACATCTAACTAATTTGCCTCTTTTAAAGGCAAAAAGAAAGTTTCCCCTGATAAGATGGTAGAGATGCAAGCAAAGATTGAAGAGGAGAGAAAAGCTCTTGAAACGAAACTTGATATGGAAGAAGAAGAAAGAAATAAAGCCAGAGCTGAACTGGAGAAGAGAGAAAAAGATTTACTTAAAGCTCAGTGAGTATCTTGCTCCGAGCAGTTTGTGCAGTTGTGGATTTTTTCTTTAATCAAGAACTTAGTTGTCTGTGTGGGGAGGTGCCTKTAATAGTTTTTATAAAATGAACCTCAGCACTTGCTATTATCAAAGAGCAGCTTCCTTTGTGCTTTCAGAGATTAGAGCAGATGAAAAAGCAGCTTTATTCATCTGCCACAAACTTCATCTACTAGAGAGATGGCCTAGAAACTCAGATGGACCCTTGCAGCTCTGGAGCCCTGGGAAGAGCAGCAATACTGTTTTATTGCTTGATGAACTCACAGGAGCTCTGTAGCAAGTCAGGTGCCCTGTGCACACTGGTGCAAGAGGGAATTCCCTTTGCTAGGGCTTTCCTGCACTGGAGCTGGTGAGCTGTGGAGAGCATCTGCTGTGGCCCGTGCAGATGGGGAGCTCCTGCCGAGAGGTTCCTCAGAGCACAGCCTGCAGAGCTGCCTTCTTGACTTCGCTGCCACCACCACGTCCTGTGCAGCCTGTTTGGCTCTGCTGGCCTGGCTGGGCCCTGGCAGAAGGGCTGATGTTGATAGTGGTGCCTGGCAGCCCCTGACAGAGGGGAACTGCGGCGGGAGAGGCTTCTCTGCTGGCCTGGTTGCGTAAAAGTGATGGGAACTCAGGGAACTTCTGCACTTGCTTGCAGTGCCTCACCCCCTCTGAAACCTTGGCAGCAAGACAAGCTTTTCCAGCCCTGTAAGTGTTTGTTTGTACTGTAAAACTAATTCAGGCCTGGCTGCTTTGCAGGTGGCACAGGATAGGCTACGTTTGGCATTAACATAGCTTCCTCCCTCTGCAGGCAAGAGCACCAGTCCCTGTTGGAGAAACTGTCTGCACTGGAGAAGAAGGTGATTGTAGGAGGTGTGGACTTACTGGCAAAAGCAGAGGAACAAGAGAAACTGCTGGAAGAATCCAATATGGAGCTGGAAGAACGAAGGAAGAGAGCAGAGCAGCTTCGCAAGGAGCTTGAGGAGAAGGAGGTGGGGAGTGCTCTCTGCTGGCATTGCTGCCACGGGCAGATGAGGCTCCACTCTGCGAGCACGGACGATGCTGGCGGCCTGGGAGGCCACTGGCATCCAGGAGAGCCTTGGCAAGGCTCGTGTGTGACTCGCAACAGYGAGATTGCTGTGGCTGTGAGCCAGCCTGGCTGAGGCAGGTCTCCATGCCATGGAAAAGACTTGTTCAAGTCTTTTTCTTCCTGTTATGCTGTTGCATATCTAAAAAGTATATAGCTTTTTAGAGTGTATTAATGTGTGGATGTCTGCTAAATCTTGCCTACAGCAAGAACGCTTGGACATAGAGGAGAAGTACACCAGCCTTCAGGAAGAAGCACAGGGGAAAACTAAAAAGCTGAAGAAAGTTTGGACCATGCTGATGGCTGCAAAATCAGAGGTCAGTGTCTGCAATGCTAGAGCGGGGAGGAGTTAAGCTTTGTGACTCTGCACAAGTGTCTCAGAAATGTCTCTGCTTTCCCTTTTAGTTTACGTAATTCAGAAAGGACTAATTGAGYCTAATAACAGAGCTGCATGGGGCACATCGTGGAGCTTTTCTCCAAGTTATTCTGGTTCTGGGAGAGTGTGTTGGAGACAGAGTCATTCAGAACTTCAGGGAGAAACACTGGTTATTTCTGACCAAAGCAAATTGTCTGCTGGCAGCTTAATCCCTTGCTCTGTGCAACCACCCAAATTCTCCTCTGCTCTTAGCTCTCCTTCTTCCTGCCTGTCACTCAAATTCTCTCTTTATAACACTGGGTGAATGTCCTTTGTTGAGTATCTGGTATCCCTGCTTTATGAAAAAGTGCATTTCTCATAAATGCACGTTAGAGACTTTTCTCCTTCTTATCAAGGACATAACTTGTCTACACTCTCTTGATCTGCTCTTAGCTGGCACACAACTTGGATTGCCAGAAGGCCGATTTATTTTTAATGGAACCAAAAACTTTAGACCATTTTTAAACCTTCTCTCAGTTAGAATGGTTTCAGTGGTTTATTTTTTCAGAGGCAACTGTTCTAATGCTTATAGCCATTTTTTTATCAAGTACAAATCTTGCTTTTTGTTTCACAAAGCATCATGCAAGCAAAAGACTCTTCATACAATTACTATACCTTAAGCTCACTCTGACTCCTCTTTATGGGCTGTTTTTTTTGTCTGCAGATGGCAGATTTGCAGCAAGAACATCAGAGAGAAATCGAAGGATTACTGGAAAATATTCGTCAGCTGAGCAGGGAACTCCGTCTTCAGATGCTCATTATAGACAACTTCATTCCTCAGGACTACCAGGTAATGATGAAGAATATTAGCCTTTGACGTAAGCAGGTGCTATGTGTACTGAGCCCTCTGGCTTTTATTTTGTCCTCCCAAAAATTGAATGAGTCAGCTTCCTTCCTCTTCCTTGAGGTGCTATCGGAGAAGTGAGTCTGCTTAGTTGTTGCCCACAAGATGATGAGTTGGTGTGAGTCCAACCTGAGCCATTCTGTGAGCCTCAGARCCACCTTTTGCTGCAGCTCAGCTGAGCAGATGCAACTGTTCATCATCAGTAGCTTGGTTGTGCTGGTGCTGCTTGACTCCTCAGAAGCAGATCACACTGAAGTGACAGAAGGTGTGCGCGTCAAGTCACTTTTATAAGAACTGGTAGATTGCTAACTGAAGTTCTTGTGGAAGACGATCAGAGCTAGTGCGTTTGTCTCCCAAGCCAGCTGGACTGGGTAAATAATGAATGCAGGGTGAGCATTAGGTTAGTTCTCACAGGTTTTGGGTTAGTTCTCACAGGTTTTGATGACCGGCCATCAAGATTCCATGATCGTAGAACCTGCTTTAGGGAAAAAATGCATCATGTGTCAGGGCTTCCGTGGCTGCAGTGATACAATAATTCCTGCTCTCTACCGCATATTTCTCTGATGTACTAAAAAGTCTCTTTGAATATGCTGAAAATGTACATGGTATATGCACCATGCCCTTGCTCTGAATCTCTGAAGTTTGAGACTTGACTTTCTCCATTTTTAATTTTTGTTGTGCTTGAAGTTGTGGTTGCTAGTGTCTGATATTAGTACCAAGTAGACTCCTGCTTTCTTYAATCTTATGTATCCAACATTCGTAAAATTTATGATGTACTAAAATGTAACTTGCCTTATTAGATAAAGGAAAAGCCTATTTCCTTCCATTTTTGTTCTTGCCTGTTAGAGCACTTGTATCCTGGTGGCATTGGCATAACTGAAACCCACACCTCAGTGGGAACTCCAAAATGCACCATTTAAGTAGTATTTTCTCTTCTGTTGTGTTCAGAACATACAGGGTATTTTGAACATGGTGTGCTAAAAATAACCTAAAGTTGTCAAAGTTGTTTTTAAAGAAGTCATCCAGGCTTTTGGTGGCATGTTTTGGAAGGTGCATCTGGAGTGTAGACAATGCAAGCCTGACTGTTACCTTTCTAACTTTTTCCTAGGAAATGATTGAAAACTACGTTCACTGGAATGAAGACATTGGGGAATGGCAGCTGGTAAGCTGGCTCACTGGGTCGTGTGCAAGTTATGGGAACCCAAACGCCCAAAGAATTTAATTGAGGCCAGAAATGCACTTGTACAACTGTGTACAGAGTTGCAATATACTCGGTGGATTTTAGTAATGGGTCTAATGGGTCTCTCTCTTTTTTCTTTCTTTTTTTTTTTTTTTTTTTTTTTTTTCCCCCTTCAAGAAATGTGTTGCATATACAGGAAACAACATGAGGAAACAGACTCCTGTTCTGGATAAAAAGGAAAAAGATGTAAGTGATTTTTCCTAAGCATATATTGAACTATGGAGGTCTATGTTCTGCTATCAGTTGTGCCTGTTTAAATATCTCTGCCTATTTACGGGAAACATGTCTAATCTGCATTTTTCATGGTTTAAAGAGATTATTTTTTTCCTAGTGTTTCCTAGTTTTCCTAGTGTTTCCTAGTGGAAGAGCTGTTGCTTGCAGTGCATAAAACATTGTTTTGTTCTGTTTTTTTTCTCATTAGCCCTTTGAAGTGGACCTTTCCCATGTTTATTTAGCTTACACAGAAGAAAGCCTGAGACAGTCTTTGCTCAAGCTGGAGAGACCAAGGACTTCAAAAGGAAGGTCCAGGCCCAAAACTGGTCGAAGGTGAAGCACTTTAGGGTGTCAATATGTAATGGGGGATTTACACTGGGGATTGCCTGAGTTTATCTGGGCAAACTTAATTAGCAGATATTTGAAGGCTTTTGATTAATGAGAAGAGAGAATGTGAAAATGCTGCATGATGTAAAGTTTAGTAATACCAAGTACAACAGAGCTGATCTGCAGTGTCTTTGCTGAGGTAAAATAATGTCCAGAAAGACTTGTCTGTGRGCAGTCTTCTGATGTCCTTTTTCACGTTCCCGTCTTCAGGCTTCTTGTTCTCTGGACTGGTTTAACGAGCGACACCTTGACTGGGTATATCCAATAATTATTGGAAAGTAATAGGCTGTTGGGGGAGATMCAGTGTTGGCTTTAGTTTTGTTTTCAATCAGGGCTTACTTACAAGTTAATTCTGTGTGGTTTTGATTTGGAATCTTTCTGGTCCCTGTCTAGCCTGGACAGCCAGATGATGAGTATGCATTTTTTTTCCTCTTCTTTCTTCTCTCCAAACAGAAAACGATCTGCAAAGCCAGGAGCTGTTATTGACTCTCTGCTGCAGTAGGGGTGATGGATTCAGAAATGCTGTAAAAATCAGTGAGTGTGTAGGGCCTGGCCAGAATATGGAACCCAACAGAGTAGGCCCAGTGTGACAAARCGGCTATGAAATCCATGCCTTACGGGTATGGAGCTTTATTTAAAAAAAGATTTTTTTTCCTTAGTTGCTCATATACTGTATGTTATATTAACATAATGTTAAACTGGTATATACGGTAATTGTGAAATTCTGTGTTAAGCAATTTTGTGTTGTGCAGGGAAACTGTTGTTGGCAATCCGTGTTGAAGTGTATAGARAGCAGGGTTCTAGATGTGTGTTTAAGTGCTAGACATGCCAGCCCAAAGTGGTTGGTTAAAATTTAAAGCTGGTAAATCTGATTTACGTTCTGCTTTGCACATAGAAACTGGCAGCTTTCACTGTTTTTCTCTGTTGCACTGTTCTGTATTTGAATGTGGTTACTGAAAGGCTATGAGTTAACTTGATTTGAGCATCAAACCTTTTTATTTAAATATTCCTCGCTGTAGCAATGAACCTGATCATTTTGTGTCTGAAACACACCCCTCTCTCTATCCCTTCCTCTGCACTCTTACTATATGGAGTAATTGTGTCAGAGTGCTGGGAAGGGACACTGTTCCATTGCAGCCCAATGAATGTGTCAAGTTGTGCTTTTTTTTTCCTTCCCAACTCGTGGGTAATCTCCTTGCATCACAGAGAATGGCCTTTGAGGCAAAGGCAAGAAAATACTGCTATTCTTTCTTTTTTTTTTTTTCTTTTATTTTCTTCTTCCTTTTGTGGCTGTATTTGCAGCATTGCTCTGGCTGCTTTTCRTGCTTCTGACTAAACTGGCAAATTTTAATTTATGTGAATTGTTTTGTTGTAATTTGGAGAGCAGCGATTCACTAAAGAGGATGCTCTGTTGCTAATGTCTAAATTGGTCCTGAGGACACTGAGCAATACAGTTCCATTTCCCATCCCTGACACAGAGTACTGGACCAGTGCTCTATAAACTGCAGATGAATTTCACTCTCCCTATAAAAAGGGCATGAATTGCTCCTTTTCCTAGAGCAGCAGTTCCCCTGAAATAGTTGATGCTGCACTTGCCCGTGTGCAGACTTTCTCCTCTGTTTCTGGTTATGCTGTGAGGAAATAATTCTGGTCTCTGCTAATGATCGTCRTCTTGTGGTGGCTGCTCCTGTTCTTATTTTGTATTTATGCTGCTAATACACATAACACTTTAATAGATTTACTCCCGTGTCATGGAGAAAATGCATCTCCTCCCCATTGTGTGTTGTTATAACTAATGCTAGAGCATATCAGTTGCAAGCATCCAAAGAGCTCCCATGGCAGTGTGGTGCTAATTAGCTTAATTAGTAGCCTTTTTGTCACCTAGAGATTTGAAGATGCTGATACTGATGTGAAGGGTCGAGGACATAGACGTGGCCAAGGTGCCAGCTCCCCACGTGCCCTGAGCTTCAGCCAGGAGCCCCGTTGGCAGCTCCCAGGTAGCGGCAGCTGCCAGGGGCAGTCAGCATTTCAGGGCTAAAGCTGTTCTTTTGGCAGCACCTTCCTCCCGGGGATGCCTCCAGTGCCATCCCAAACAAATCCTTTCTCTTGCTTTTCAAAATACATATCTTCCAGGGTCGGGAACTAAGAGGAGAACATCTGCTCCCTGTCTCTTGTGGAGGGGTTTGTCACCTAGACTCATAGAACATGCACATACAAACACTGTCTTTTTTTACAGTGTAGCATTAAGAGATAAATGCTCAATTTGTGTTTAATCTAAGCTTACCCTTGAAGAGCTGATCTTATTTGAAATGTGCTTGGATAAGGTTAAGRTACCAAATATTATGTCTTTGCAATAAAGCAGACTGAAAATGACTCAAATACTGTTTTTGTTGTAGGAGTTTCTTATGCAGGTTCATGGCCCAAGCAGATAAATGCTTTATTTGGTCTGTATCAGTTCTTAAAACTGGGGATAGGGGATAGTTAACTGCATTTCATTGTGTTAGGTCTTGCTGTGTCAATATCCCTTGTTAAATAATCTGTTTTTAAGAGGGTTTCTCCTGACTTGTGCTTTGAAAACTGACAAAAAAAATACAGTAAGTTGTCCTTTTGACCTGACAGATACTCAGTAACTTAGATGTCACTGCAAGCCATCTCACTGCGTTCGGAATATTTAAGGATTCCTAAGGGATGYGCTGGTCCCTGATGGAACTCGCACTGCGGCTGGAAACCCAGCGCTGCAGGTAAAACCGGGAGCGTCTCGGGGCAGGAAAAGGCACCTGGGGAAAAGCTGCTGGCAGCTGCTCCGGAGAGCCGGCCTGGGGCTCGCACTGGAGCCACCTCTGAAGGACACCTCGCTCCTGTGGGAATATACGGAATATCCCCCCTCGGCCGCGCTGAGGACTTCCCGCTTTGGCTGATCTTTTAACTGTTTGGTTAGATTTGATTTGATTTTGTGTTCTCCCCTGGGATTTTCTGTTTGTTGGAGAGCCTGACCTGGCGGTTGCTATATGAGCCTCTGCCTGGCTTATCTGTGAATGTCTGATGCGCCCATGACATGTTTTAGAAGGGAATGGTTTGGTTTTTAATGACTTGGCCAATGCAGCCATTCTGATTTCAGCTCAGTAGTTACTCTATAATATTTCTCAGTGTCATATTAACTTACATATACACACACACAATATATATATGTCTATGTACGCATGTGGTGTATACCCACTCTCCCATATTGCTAACAGAAGTTCCCTTTCATTCAAGAGCATCAACTTTACACTGATTTTTTTTCTGCATTTATGTTATTTAATGTTGTTCTAAATTATTTCATATTTAACTTGTTCCTGATTATTTCTTTGTTTAAGAGGAGGGGAAAATTGTCCTTAGTGCCTTTCACTAATTTGTGTTRTCTGCACACATCCTAATTTTCGCCTTTCTCAACAGTTCTGTTTAGCCAGTCCTGTATATAGGTTAAAAAAAACTACTAGTCTGTTTGTATAATTTTTCTTCCTATTTATTGGCTTCCAAACTGTTCATTTCTGATTATTCTCAATTTCCGATACTCATTATACTGTATATATCAGCATTGTGTCCTTGGAGCATGTTCGTACCGTAAATAAAATACTTGATTCCTAGTTCCATTTTTCTTCGTGTTTTTCCATTTTTATGCCTCTTTGCAGCCCCCGGTGCGTGGGGGGCGTTAAGCAGGGCCCGCCTGCCCCGCTCCGACACGAGGCCTCCTTGGAGGCGCTCGGAGAAGGGCGCTCGGCCGGGAGAGCCCCAGGCACCGGGAGCAGCTTCTTGTCACCCGGAATGCCGCCGCTCCGCCCGTGTTGCGGCCGCTCCTCGCGCGCCCTGCGCAGGTGGGTGCTGCCCTGGGGACGGGGTGTCCTCGCAGCTCCGTGTTCATCATCATCTTTGTGCTTCTTGCAGGCCTGGCGCGTCCTGCAGGTGCTGTGGAGTTACCTGAGGGGACGGGAGATGCTCCTTGTGCCGCGTGCCTGGGATGGATGTGCGTCGCCTCCCCGCCGGGAGGTCTGCGGCCCCGCTCGTGCAGCAGGTAACAGGCTGTTCGGGTGATCTGCAGATCATCTGGCAGCTCCCCTGAGCATTCGCTGACTCAGTTGCTGCACAAACCAAACCCTGCCAGTTCTGGGACTTTCCAAACCCCCCTCCCACGCTATGCCAAAATAAGTTGCAAACTGGTAGATACCTCAATACCTGTAAGGCTGCAGGCACCTATTGCTGGAGATGGGCTTCAACCACAACCCGGCTGGGCTGGAGGTGTCCTCAAGCAGGCAGCTTTGCTCCCTGCTGCTCTTAGCCTTCTTTTGTTGCTGGAGCCCCTTTGCTCCTGGTCTGTAAAAGGGTGTGAGGGCCTCCCTAAACCCAGGGCTCGTGTCGAAAGTGGCATCTCCCTCCCTTGYTCTCCTGGGAGCTCCGTGTGCCGCCTTGGTGCCCAAAGAGCCTCCCGTGTTCTACACATCTGGCCGAGAAACGCGCACTGTTAGCAAACTTAGTCCAAAAATACATTTATTTAAAAATAGATATAAATAATCTCTGAAAATACAGTGTCATTACAATAGGAAACAAGTTGCTTTCACTTCAGAATTGACTCTTCTTTGCTAGTTGTTTGTGGAATCTGTTCAGGTCCTGTAGGAAATGTTTCAGGGAGGTAGTGTTGCCTGCTGCCACGGGACAGGGTACCTGCTAGAGGAGAAGAAAGACATGAAGATAATRTTTTTAATAATAATTTTGCTGGGGGAGTTGAGTTACAAGTAGGGTCTTATCTGCAAGGTCGAGACCCGTGCGGAGCCGCGGCAAAGAGGACGGAGCAGCGCAGAGTGCTGAAGGGCTGAGTAATCYGCCGACAAGGCGGGGTGCTCAGAGCGGGGTTGCTGAAAAGTAGCAGAGCCCAAGCAAGGAGCAAAGCGCCCGCCTAAGCTCTTTTGGTGTGAAACCACCACGAAAGTGAAAAAGGTGSTGAAGGGAGAAGCTGGAGGCGTGGGGAGGTGTGAGGCGCGGGCCCTCCTGGCTCCCGCTGCCGYGGGGCTGCCGTGGGGCTAGCRGAGCCTCTACCTGGGGGGCTGCGCTCGCCTGTCGCACGAGCTGCTGCAGGTTGAGCGAGATGCCCTGCAGCTGCCGGTGGCAGCTCTGGCCCTCCCCGGCGACCGTCGCCGCTTTGCACAGGAGCTCGGCTTCTTTCTGGAAGAGGGAAAACGGGGACTTTTTTRGAGCCTCCCCAAGAACTAAGACCATCTGTCCATGTAGCATAAACAGCTTCACTAGCAGTAGATGAAAACAGCACAAAACATTCCCTTTCCTTCTGAAGGGTGGGAAAAGGGTTCAAAACCCCTGAGGCTGAACCTTCCTGAGGGTGTGTGTGCACGTGCAGGGGCTGCTGCCGGCCGGGCTGGCCTGGAGCCAGGAGCGAGGCTGCGGGCAGAGCCTGGCCTAGCAGAGCTGCCTTTCCCTGCAGGGCTCGGACTGCCCCTGCCTTTTGCCAAGACCCAGCTCCGCGCAGGGAGTCCTGTCCCCATGCAGCCTCGCATCCCCAGGGCCAGCGCCAAGGGCTGCCTCGCTCCATATATAAAAACACTAAATTAAATCCATCGAAAGGGTTCCTTCCTTGAGGGGCCCATGCCTGTGCTATGTCTAAGATGAGGTAACAGGGGCCCGGTACTTACGGGGTTGAGGGACAGGGTGCGCGGCGCCGCGTGCGGGGCCCCCGGCTCTGCGTCCGCCTGCGGAGGAGAGGAGCAGAGGGGCTGTGGGTGAGGTGCCCGCGGGCACCCGAGCCCTCCGCGTCGCCTCCAGGGGAAGGGTGGATTTACACCGCCCAGAGGTACAGGGCACCTTGTGCCACCTCTGTTGGAGATGACGGGCTGAGCGGAGCCAGGGCAGGCAGAACTGAGGGGAAAAGCCTCATTCCTGCAAGGGGAATGTCCGCTCTCTGCCTGCCCCGCTCCCTGCGGCCGGAGCCTGCAGGCACCTTGTCCCATCCCATCTTGTCCCATCCCATCTTGTCCCATCCCATCTTGTCCCATCCCATCTTGTCCCATCCCATCTTGTCCCATCCCATCTTGTCCCATCCCATCCCGTCTTCTTCCATCCCCGGAGCTGCGAATGGGGATGTCTTGTTCCATCCCCGGAGCCTTCCCCGCTGCGCCCTGTGGCAGGAGGCAGCGGCGCGGGCCGGGCCTCCACGCGCCCGGAGGCTGCAGCCTCGGCTTTCTGTGAAAACAGGAACTGCAGCGCGGGGCGCCCGGCTTAGGCAGCACTTTTCGGTGCACAAGCGGGCTGCGCTATCTGCTATTAGATCGGCGAGCTCGAGAGCCTTCCTCCCGATAAGCGGGACTCAAGAGGGACAGTGCGCTGCGCTCGAGATGCACCGATAGGCGCTGCTGGGTGCGACACACGGCTCCGTGCCAGGCCCGGGAAGCGTTTCCTCTCTTCCTTTTTGAAAAAGCTTTAAAAAGGAAAAGAGAAACCCCCTGCTACAAGGAGCGCCGGTTGCTGCCCCTGAGCCGGGTTGAAGCTGCTGCCTGCGTCTGYAGCAGCCGCTTTGGGCCCGGGAATGCGCTCGCTGGCCTGGCAGCTCCTCTCGAGCAAAGCAGTGAACAGCAGTCCTTGCCATCAGCCTTTGGCAATTTGTGGTGGTTTTTTGGTTTGTTTTAATCCAGTTCCCCAGCAGAAGGGAGAAACCCAGTGTCTGTTTTGCCACCGTGTTACCCCTGCCTTCCCTTGCCCCACGCGCCTCCTCTCCCGGCTGCCTCCAGTGCCCACTTGCTCTGTCTGGAGAGCGACAACTGCATTTCGCTTTCTTACCTTGTGCTCTGCAAAGATATTTGTCACGTTCATCTCSTCACAGGAAACCTTCACCGGGGGACAGAACAGGGCAGAAGTGAGACTAGAGATATTGGTAACCATGCAGATGCTCCCCGAGATGCAGCGGGCTCCCCGGCGCCTCCTGCAGCCGCCCGGTGCCCAGGTGAGCAGCTGGCGCGGCCCTTTTTTGACTCAGCATCCCCTCTGCAGAGCCCAGCCGAGCCGCCCGTCCCGCCCCGAGCGGCGCAACTCACACGTACCTTGGTATTCATGATGTTTTGCAGCAGCCTGATGTTCTCGTTCAGGAAGTTTGTGCTCGGCGGGAGCGCGGCCTCGTGGCTGCGGCAGGCGAGCAGGCAGCACACGGCGAGCAGCCCCGCGAGCTTGGTGCACATGGCCTGGCTGTGCTGGCTGCGCCTCGCCAATTCTGGATTTGGGGGTGAGCTGCACCTGTGTGTGCCTTTCTGGAAGGGCATCTCTATTTATGGCTGCAAAATTGCTGAACCCACGGGAAAAACTTATTGTTCCTTTATCTGCACTTTCCAAACTTGTTGCTATCCAATTTTTTTGGTAAAAGTTGAGATTCTCTTCTGATCTTGCATTACGTTTCAACGTAGGAAATTTCCACCCTTCAGATAACACTGGTACGAGTCAGGTCACGTACGAAGAAAAAATATGTGAAGTGCCCCGTGTGTCCTCCCCGTTTCTGTGCATCCCAGGCCTTGCTCTGGAGGGTGAGGTTAAGGGCACCGAGTCCCAGCTGGGACCCTGGAGGTGACGACACTTTAGCCAAGGCGCTTCCCCTTGTCCCCAAGTGCCCCGCGCGYGTTTCTGTCGTGTTCGGTGTCATTTGATTATCTCCCAATCATGCAAAGCGCCGTTCATCTGCATATGTTTTGTGCCGGCAGCGCTACCTTGCCCTGCGCGGGGAGGGCTGGAGAGCGGCGGCGCGATGCCCGGCCCGGGGCCCTGCCCTGCAGCACCAGCGGGATGTCGCCCTCCCGCCCGGGCCATCGAGGAGCTCCAGAGTCCCTTCCAACCCCAACCCTTCTGTGAGATGGATTTGAGATGGATTTATGGAAACGAGGTGCCCTTCTGGCTCTATGGGCTCCCCAAAAAGCTGTAAAACTGCTCTGGTGAGTCCTGCAGGGCCCCGGTGAGGGCTCTGTGCTGAGCGGCGTTCCTCGTGTGCAGCCTGGCTGTGTCTGAGGCTCTCACCGTGCAACGGGGCCGGGCGACTCCACGTWGCACCAGCCGCATCCCGAGGAGCCGGAGGCCCCGTTCTTCCCGGCCCGTCCGAGGAGGCGGCCTGGCGAGAGGAGCTCCGGCAGCCGGAGATGCCTCAGGAAACAACACCGAGAAATTAGCTGAGCTGGGAAAGTCTGGAGTTTTGTAATAACTAATAGGTATTTTTCTAACTCAAATAGCAACTTGCAATCAGATGCTTGATAAGAACGCGCGAGTGCTCTATTAATTCAGGAGCAGCCAGACTGAGRGTAGCTTTTTTTTCTGAGATGCCCCAGATGAAGTTGGTGCCACTGAGTCAGAAAGACCCCGGTGAGGGATTTGCCACCAGAATGCCGCGGCGTTTCCTCCTTGCACCTTTCTTGATGGAAAGTAGATAAGCGCGGGCTCGGCTCGGCGGGAGAGCCCTGCGGTGTCAGGGCTGCTGCTCGTCACCGGCGCGGGGACGGGGACGGACCCGTGTGCAGGGACGGCCCACGCTGCGACTGGGAGGCACAGGGAAGGGCAGGGATGTGTGGGGGTGCACAGGGATATATGGGGATACATAGGGACGTGCAGGGGTGTGCAGGGATATAGAAGGATGTGCGAGGATGTGCGGGGATACACAGCAGTGCTCAGGGATACCCAGGGATGTGTGGAGGTGCSCAGAGGTGTGTGGAGATACACAGGGGTGTGCAGAGATGTACAAGGASACACAGGGATGTGTAGGAGTGCACAGAGGTGTGCAGGGATACACAGGGATGTGCAGGGATACACAAGGATGTCTGAGTATATGTAGGGACACTCAGGAGAACACAGGGATGTACAGGGATATGCAGAGATGTGCAGTGATACGCAGAGATACACAGGGMTGTGTGAGGATGCGCAGGGATATGTGAGGATGCGCAGGGATGCACAGGGATGCTGCAAGCCTGGAGCGGGCAGGAGCCGCTGCCTCCCCTTGCCTGCACTTGCAGGTGGGCCCTCATGGTCTGTGCCTGTTAACGAACTAATTATTTGCTCCCRCGGGAAGCGGTGCTGTCCGTGCCCGGCCGCGTGGCCGCTCCGCAGCCTCCCCTCCTGCCCGGGGACTGCCCTGCTCCCCCGGCTCTGCTGATTCACAGCGCAGCACGTGGTGCTCTCGGTGACGMCGGGACACGTCAGCAGCCGCTAGATTCCCTCTCTTGTAGGCTGTTTCTCCTCCACATCTCCCCTCCTCCGTGCGGCCGAGCTCCCTCCCGGCGGTTTTGTTTTGTTGCTGGGCTAAATCGCTGGGTTTTGGGTTCCTGTGTGAGCGCCGCAGCGGCACCGCGTGGCCCCTGCTCCTGCAGGGCAAGCAGGGCGCTCTGCCGGGCCGGGGGAGGGATAATGCGGTGAACGGGAGCATCCCACGTCTGCAAAATAGCCTGAATAAAGCCAGGCTGCCAGCCCGGCTCAGTGCTGCACCCGGTGGAGCCGCACGCTGAGCCCCTTGGAGCCTCCGCGCTCCAAGTCGTGCTCCGAGCCGGGCTCGTCCCCACGACCAGGAGCGCCCAGGGCGCCCGGCTCTTCTCTCCCGACAGCGCTGCCTGATTCCCGGAGCAGGGGCCCTTCCGTGAGCAGCGGCCCAGTAGAGCCAGGCWGGCAGCTCTGCCCCGGCCCGTGTGTCCCCGGAGCCCGCGGCRCCTCCCGCCGCTCCGGCGGCTCCCACTGCTCCAGTGCCCATCGCGTCCTCTGGTCCCGGCTCCTGCCTTGGGCCAGGCTGCCCCACTGGCTGCTCCCTGCAGGACCCCGCTGCCCAAACCCATCCCAGCCCTGCTCCGCTCGCCCAAACCCATCCGAGCCCTGCTCCGCTCGCCCCGTCCCCGCTGCCCAAACCCATCCCRGCCCCGYTCCGCTCGCCCCGTCCCAGCCCGGCTCCAGCTCCCCCATCCCTGCGCTCCTTCCCAGCCCCAAATCCCCTCCCCTCCTTAGGAAGCGCCACATCATGGGTAGACCTGCTGGCTTCCCCCAGGGGCTCCACACAGGCTGGACCCTTATGGGGCTGGTTGGTCCCGTGTGTCCCCTTGAAACCAGCCTTGGAGGGGACATTTGCTCTATATTGCACCAAGCACCAGCCCTTCTCTCCTTCGCCTTGTCTCAGACCACATAAGTTGGACTTTGACAGCCTGAATTAGCTCCTCGGTCTCTAAGAAAAAGGTAAGAAACAGCAAAACCCATCGACACAGAGACCTTGTCATTTGTAGTTTATTGCTTAACCCGGAGACAGTTGAATATCAGTGCAAAGTTGAAATGAAAAAATATTAAGATATCCAAAATACATGATCCTTTGAATATATTAAAACTCTGTTGTAATACAAATATTTAAATATATGGAAGAATAATAAATTAGGAGTCAGCACACGCTTATTTGTTACCTTGGAAAGGCAATTAGGTAATGACCTTCCCTGGGAACAAGTTAACACTTTTAAATATGGACTACACTACACAGAATAACCCTCATATAAGTTAAAAAAAACGAGACTTATATTCCGAATACAGGCTTTGTCTTTTCCCTAAATCCCAACTGGAGAAAAGCATCTGCTCCCCTGCTTCTTCAGGTGGGACTTTTTGGTCTTGAATCTTTAGGTTACGCCGTATAAAAATAAGTTATTTAAATAAGATACAATAATAAATAACCTCCAGCATTAGGACGCTGCGGAGCAGCTGTTAGAAAGGTTCCCAGCCCCGATCTTCACTATTAATAATTTAAAGGGTGGCCAGCGGTAGAGGGGAGGAGCAGGGCAGGAGGGGAGCGGGGAAGGGCGCTCCATCCCGGCGCTCCATCCCGGCCCTCCATCCCGGTTGCTCGCGTGGGCTCCGCGTGGCGCCGTGGGAAGAGGAGGCGGCCGGAGGGAGGCCGGCTCCGCGGCCGGAGCGAGGCCGGCTCCGTGGCGCTGCTCAGGGCGCCGCCTCGGCCGCCCTGGCCGCCAGGCGCCGGTACATGCCCTGCGTGAAGTTGCCCAGCTCCGGCAGCAGGTTGCGCAGGTAGATCTCGCTCTCGCCGGGCAGGGAGCATCTCTGAGGAAGGGGACACGGAAACGTTAGCGCTCGCAGCGGGAATAACAGCTCAAGCACCCCRGTCAGCACCCCGCAGAGCAGAGCCTGGGTTCTGCAGCCTCTCCTAGTGCGGAGCCAAGGCCACGCGGTGCCAGCACGGGACACACGAGCTGGGAGCCGCTCTTGCCCAAGCACCAGGTGACTAGTCCGCGTGTGCAGCAAGCAGCCCGCGAGGGACAGCGGGGACCCGGGGACTCTTGCATGGCCCCAGCACCACTGAGATGGCTGCAGGAGCTCGAGCTGCTCCCCAGCTCCTCCGCGGTGCCCGAGCTCTGTGCAGGCAAGTGCTGCTCGGGGAGCCGCCGCTCGGGGAGCCGCCGCTCGGGGAGCTGCTGCTCGGGGACCCGCCACTCGGGGACCCGCCGCTCGGGGAGCTGCTGCTCGGGGAGCCGCCACTCGGGGACCCGCCGCTCGGGGAGCTGCTGCTCGGGGACCCGCTGCTCGGGGACCCGCTGCTCGGGGACCCGCCACTTGGGGACCCGCTGCTCGGGGACCCACCGCTCGGGGACCCACCACTCGGGGAGCCGCCACTCGGGGACCTGCCGCTCGGGGACCCGCCGCTCACCGTCTTGCTGTGCAGGCTCTGCAGGTTGGTGATGAGCGGCTTGTAGTCCGTCTTGCACTTGGTGACCTTGCTGAGCGCCGTGCTGGCCTGGCACAGGAGCTCCTGCTCCGAGAGCTGCAGGGGATGACACGGTGGGGACGTTAGAGCTGTGGTGCCACCTCSAATGGCCCCAATCCCTGCAGCGCCGGCCCTGGCATCCCGGCGTCCTCTCCCCGGAGCTTCTGCCCTGCCCGCTGGTCACGCTCTCGGTCCCGGCCACGTTAAGGGACTCGCTGCCGCTGCCGTGCACAGAGCTCTATAGTGCCCAGTGCTGCTCGTGTCCCCATCCCTGCCAGGCAGGAGTGGGAAGCGGGAACCCCGGGACGGAGTCCTCGGAGGAGCCAGGCGGCTCCCTCTGCCCTCCCGCAGGTCCCGGTGACCAGGGYTCTGGTACCTGCTGCCCTAAGCTGCTTCTGCCTGGTTTTGGGATGAGTTTTGTGCCTCTCTGCCCCCCGTTTTACCTTTCGGTCAGTGAAGACGAGCTGGGCCACCCGGCTGTCATTGCAGGGGATCTGCAAGAGGAAGACGAGGGAGAGGGTCAGTGCTGGGCACCCAATGCACCAGGTGCCCACCCCCAAAACGCCCCCTGCCCAGCCCGATCCCGACTGGAGCCGGGAATCCTGCCCCTTCCCGGGACGTGCGGCTGTGCCGGTGACCGCGTGTGAGTGCCCACGGAAAGGAGAGCCAAACGCCGGGCTTTTCACCCCAAATGASGGCGGCTACAGAGGCACTGCCACCGCCCAGCACCCTAGGGCTCCCTCGCAGCTTTTGGGTCACCCAGTTGGTGATGCCCGTGCGGGATGCGGGATGCCACAGGCCCGTGCTGCCTGTTCCTGGCCGTGGCCCGTGCTCACCTGCGGCCTCGCGTTGAACTGCTGCACCAGCTGCGTGATCTCCGAGAGCGTTTTCAGCGGGGCCGTGGCCGCCGGCGGCCGGGAGCGGATCGCGTCTACCAGGCAGAGCAGAGCGAAGAGGCTCTTGAGCAGGGCGAGCATCCTGAGCGGGAGGCTGCAGCGCCGGGAGCCGCGGCCGCACTGCCTCGCTGCCTGCCACGGCCCTCTCTTTATAGGGCAGGTGAGGGAACACTTGGCCGAGTGCTACCAAATATAGGGCTCTTCCTGTGGTGATGTGGCGCTGGGGCTGGAAGTGGAGTTCTCCCCAAAGAAGGGCATTATGTAACGCGAAGCACCAAGCTTTTCCCCCCATCACCGGCCGCGCCGCCCGCGTGCCTGCCTAGCAGATCCTAATCGGCTGATTGATAGATGAAGAGGTATTGAAATGAAAAACTTGGGCTTTCTTCTTAATGGTGTGCTCACCATTGACTGTGCTCCACATGTGGTGCAGGAAGAGGGTGTTGGATGGGTGAACAGACACCAAATGTTGCATTTCAGATAAACATCTTCTTACATGAAGATCAAAACTGGCTAGATAAAAGACAAAGAGATGGAGGGGTGTGGGGAGGCTTCCATGACAATTTGGGGGCAGAAAGTGGAGGGTCCAAGTGCAGGGTATGGACCAAGAAAGGGAGAAGCTGCAGTGAGGGCAGGACGCATGGGGAGCTGCCAAGGAAGCGGCTGTGCCGCAGGGAAGGGTTTTGGGGGGCAGCGGCTTCCCGCACCCCGGCCATCTGCAGCCCGGCCTCTGTGGGGTCCTGGGGGGTGTCTGGGCGCTTCCCTGAGCTGGGACCTCCTCCAGGGGCTGCTACCAGCCTGGCAGCCCCTGACAACCCCCGCAAAGAGCCCGTCCTGCCCGCGGGAYGATGCCAGAGGGAGACGCTCCGTGTCTGCCAGGGCCCGGTGCCTCTCGGGTACCCGTGGATGTGGGAGCAGGTGCTGGAATGGGCAGGGAGGYGCAGCCGGTGCTGCAGGTCGTGAGGCTGCCGGTGCCTGATGCAGTGTTTAGAACTGGAGCACCTGCTGCTAGGACTGGAGCACCAGCAGGGACACCTTGATAGAACTGGAACACCTTTGGGGGGGGGGGGAACCCCTTGCAAGAACCGGGGCACCCCTTGCCGTGCAAGGCTCCTGCCTCTGCTTTCCAGCGTTGGTGCCACGCGTCCTCACGGCAGCTGGCCCCGGGACTGGCCCTGCAGCCCCAGAAGGGCTCGAGCTGCTGTTCCCCCCGTGCGGCCGCGGCTGCTCTGGCCGGGCCGCCCCCGAACTGCTCCTGCTGGCGCCTTCTCCCGGCTCCTGACTGGGGCCCTGGCCCCGCCGGCCTCCCTCCTGCAGCAGAGGCCTCACCCGTGGGGGCTGCTGGCACAGGCGCAGAATMAAACATTTGTTCATGCGAGAAAAGCCCGAATGTGGGTCACCCCACATCAGCACAAGCCGTATCTCGCGGATCAGCGGTCGGGTTTACAAACTGGGTGCCTTTGAGCGCTTGGCAAGGCGGCAGCCCCGGCCCCGCGCGCGGCAGCCACATGTGCCTATAGCTTCACACATGCGACAGGCTCCGCATGAGCCGAGCTGCAGASAATCGGCTGGAGCAGGACGAAGGAGGCTTTGCATCACATTTCCCGACACCGTGAGCCCACGGCGGCAGCGGAGACCATCGCCCCGCGGCGCGGAGGCTGCTGGAAGCCTCCCGAGGGGTAGTAACTCAGCCGTCATAGCGAAAGAGATGGGCCCTGATAGCTGCTGTGACATTTAGCTGCTAGCAGGGCTGCAAGGAGGCTTTATATGATTAAGCTTTCGAAAGCATCATCTGTAATTGTTGGTCTAGTCTGCGGTGTTTATTTGTAGATAATTGCATTTTTTTTGCTCTATTTTGAGGGCATGCAGAAGCTTTCTACCTACAGCAGGGAGAAGGGGAGCGGCTCGTCCTCGCCGTGCCCAGAGGTGACAGCCGGGATGAGCGGCTCCGGCCCCTTTGCGGGGCTGGTTCCTGCTCCCCTCGTTGCAGGGCATTCCTGCAGCGCCGGCACCTCCCCTGTTCTCCAGGGCCCCACCGAGCGGCAGGCAGGAAAGGGGAGCCCCGGGACGGGTCGCCCCGTTTCACCGCTCTGGGCCCGGCCGCATCGTCCCCGCTCCTCCCGCGGCCGGGGCAGCCCAGCGTAGCGCCAGGCGGTGCTGGATGCTGGATCCTGCCGCCCATCCAGCTCCAGTCAGCCAGGGAAGCCCTGGAAAACTGATCCGCATCCGCTTGGCTCATTTTACTGGAATGTCCTGGAATGGAGCCCCCAGGCTGACCCCATCCTGAGGAACTGGGGCCTGGAGCAGCAGCCGGAGACGCTGGTGGCTCCGGAGCTGCTGCCCGGGGCCGGCTCTGCAGCAGCAGCCAGGGGCACTGCTCGGGAATGGGGACACGGCCAAGGCTGGGAATGGTCCCCAACCCTGCACCAGCGACACGAGGCTTCCAGCCCCCGCTCAAGCTCCGTTACAGCCTGCCCCAAATGTCCCCTCGGGAGCGGATTCAGGAAGCGGCCCTTGCCCTAACCTGCACTTGCCRACCCGCGCGGGGGCCGGAGCGGGAGCAGGAACCGCGGCGGCGCCGGGACCCCCTGGACGCGGCGCCGGGGGCGGCTGATGGAGCCGCGCGCTGGGCGCCGCTTCCCGCGGGTCACGCAGGGACCCCCTGCCCCCCGGGGCTGAGCACGGCCCCGCTCGGGACACAGCCCCCTGCTCCGGGCGCCGGGAATGCCGCCGAGGCGCCAGCGCAGAGGCTTCGCTGGCATGGACGCGGTGGGAACCACGCTGGGTTCATTTCAACACTGACACTTCACATGGGAAACCATGTGGAAAACCAAAGAAAATGCCAGGAATCCCCCCAGGAAAGGGAGCCGATGCTGCAGTTCTTCATGCAGGCCATGGACATGCCAGGTTAAAATTAACAGGTAGGATAGGAAAATTTGAAAATTCAAAGTCCGTTTTTTTTTTTTTTAGTTGATTTTATCTTTAAGAAAATTCCCCTTCAGGAAGTAGAGCTCGTGTCAGTGAGGCATCCTGGTGCAGGCGCGAACGTCACACCCCTGAGCAGCRTTTTCCTGCCTCGGCGCTCCCCGTGCCCGGCTCCTGCCTTCCCAGCAGCCTGGCAAGGGCACAGGGGCTGCGCGGCCCATCCATCCACGCAGCGGCAGCTCACGTGGGGACCGSGACAACTTTGCTCCCTTACGTCTAATGCAGGTGCAAATACTTACTTCAGGGGTAGTGCCAGGCACCGAGCGCTTCAAGGCACCAGATTTCCAGGTCTATGTCCCAGGTCACAGACCGAGATCGCCGAGCACAAGCAGCTGGCTCCTGCCTTGGCTTTCCAGGGCTTGGTGCAGGTCCTTGCCAGGCCCCTGTGCTCCGTTCCCGAGGTGCGGAGCGCTGGAGCGGCRGCTCCCGCGGGGCCCTGTCYGTGGTGCTTGTCCCAAACCCGGGCACGTGGGCACCAACCTGCGCCCCAGGGCAGCTCCAGCAGCAGCCCCAGCCCCGAGAGCCTCTGGAAACGCAGGGAAAAGGGATTCTCATGTTACAAGGGAGAAGGGAGACACAGCACGGCCTTCCCAGCTCCCTTCTTTTCCCATGGAAAAATGTTCCAAAATTGCGATATTGCTATTAACGCTTTTGTTTGCTTGTTTTGCAGTGGTTTAAAGGTTTTTGCCTGGGACTGGAGCTTTGGTGACAGATAGTCTGCGAGCAGCAGGAGACACAAGAGCAGCTCCCGTCCCTGAACTTGCAGCTCTCCTTCAAGGCAGAGGGCTGCTCAGCAGGGCCTCCGTCCCGCCAGCCCCACGGAGGCTCCGGTGGCCCGCGGGAGCTGCGAGGAGCCGAGCCCGGCCTCTGGGGCACCCCGCTGTCCCCGCTGCACTTCCACCCGGAGCGGCCGCCGTGAGGGGGAGCTGCACCAAAGCAAAGGGCTCGGCCCCAGCGCAGAGCCGCTCTCACCTCCTTCTCTGACACACAAATTAACACTCCAAGGCATTTTTCTTATCATTTCTACAGAGCTTGATTATCTCATGTAGAATAAAAACACAACCTCAAGGACTTTAGATTTAGATACAACTCCCACAACTGTCATCACTTTAAAGTGGCAAAGAGGGAGATGACATTTCTGCCCCTCTTTAAGCGAAGAGAGGCAGGGCCAAGTCTGGWTAAAAAAAATTGCTTCTGTCATCTATTGATTCATTCATCGAGTCAGAGACTTCTCTACTCTCAAGGAAACCATTACGCTGTGCTTGCACTTTTGTGACGATTTTGTCCTTTCAAAGAGTGGCAAAAATCCTTTTTGAATCTTGTGAATTTTGTGTAGACAGGACGGAGAGCTGCAGTCGCTCTGGATGTGCCAGACCCAAGGGATGGAGGGCAAGCCCCACGCTCATGCTTCCAAAGAATCTTCTTGGAGCCCCGTACATACTCAATCACAACTTTATTTTCACTTTAAAGAATAAGCTATCTCTAAAAGCTAACTGCTCTGTATTCATTTACATTTGCCCAAGTACAGCAATTTTTAAACTCTGCACTTTCTTCTGTGCATAAGATACAAGATTTAAAAGTTAACTGCTTCAGCTTCTAGCTGAAATTCCTCCAAATCCCCATACCTGTGCTATTGTGTACTGCTATTTCCAAATGCTTTCATTTCAGCTCTATTAAGTAAAGCAACTACACTAGTTTATAAAACCTAATTACTTGGAATCCTAATGAACATATGACCCTAAGGAGCTGATTCTGCACTTCATGATTTCAGAGCACTGGTCAATGTTCTTCTTGATCCTGTAGAACGTTTCCACGTATTCCGAACGGCCCAGAAGTTCAACAAAATCTTCATCGTGGGTTATCACCAGGAGCTGGAAGTTGCGCTGCTGCGATCGGCTTTTTATTATCCTGCCAAAGAGATGCTGGTTAACACATCTTCATGCAGATGACGTTTCAGATTTACAGAACTTACAAACACACAGTGCAAAAGCAGCTAGCCATTAATAGTTAACTATTGAACCAAAAGACATGCACTACCAAGCAATCTAAGGCAGACTGGTATCTCTTTTATAAGGATAAAAMACAAACAACAAAATAACGGGTAAGACACTGTTCCAGGCAAAGGAGGGGGAATCTAAAGCTATTGCTTTGCATATATAATAGTAAAGAGATATACAAGCTCAAAATAAACTTAACTTCTGCTGATAATTAGYAACATTCCCAAAATGCCCATCATTAAGCTTCACAAGAAGGGATTACTCACTCCACCAAGGCATGGGCCAGGGACTCTATGTTTTCTCGATCGAGGTTGGTAGTGGGCTCATCTAGTGCCAGGATGCCACAGTTGAGACAGAAGGTTTCTGCTAGAGCAAGGCGAATGATAAGAGAAGCAAGCACCTGGGGAAAGAAAAAGAAGGAAAATCTTACTATTCCAAGCGCTTAGAGAGCAGCAGTGTGCAACATGCTGTTTCTAATTCCATTACAAACTGTACGACTTGAGTAAAACTTACAAGGTGGTTCACTGATAACTTGCAATACCAGTAACTCACTGCCACGCAGCTGAAAATATGTACTAAAATTTCAAGTTTAAAATGGAAGATCCACTCTGCAAAATACTGTTGGAAAAAAACATCTAAGTGAAATTCTCAGCATCCAGGAAATACTGGAAATAAGAACGATTACTGCAATGTCACCTGCATCACCACTGTACTTTTTTCAAGCCCCATCCTACTGCAGCAGACATGGTGGAAATTTGTATTTGTATTGCTTGCTCCGGATTACTTAACATCTGTTTACTAAAACTGAAGTCAGCAGGATTTACYAGTGTGCACATTACAGCTACACCAACCTGCCCAATCCTATGCGACCTCACGAATTAGTGAAAATTGCAAAACTCTGATGGAAACTTTAGGAGAACACGCCACCAAAGAATACTTTCCAGTGATTGTGACTGCTGGTATCATAGATCACGATCAAAGAGAATTCTCAGAATATAAGCTAAGAAACTGTGAATAAGTTTCGTTCTCACTTACACGGGACTCTAACGTAACGCTATAGACTGCTATAAGATGCGTTTTTTGCTTATGCTGTTTTATATGAAGTTTGGAGTTTCCCCCATCGTGAGTATGGAATTTTCAAGATAAGTACACAYGCGCATTCAGGTGGGAATGAGTTTGACAGCATTTCTCATACTCAGCTCAAGTACCGATGCACCATGCAGCTTTTCATGGAACGCCTTTTAGCGGCTCTGCTGCTGTAAGCCGTTAGAGAGACTGCACCATTTTGCTCTAATCCTAAACTGCTAACTTTTGCATTCTGCATCTGGAGACTGAGTCCAGTGCTGGGCTCCCCAGGACARGAGGGATGYGGAGCTGCTGSAGAGAGTCCAGYGCAGGGCTACSAGGATGATCAGGGCCTGGAGCATCTGCCCTGGGAGCAAAGGCYGAGGRAGCTGGGCCTGKTCAGCCTGGAGAAGAGGAGGCTGAGGGGGGACCTGAGCAGTGTCCATAGACACCTCAAGGGAGGCAGTGAGGAGGACGGGGCGGCCTCTTTGYAGKGGTGGCCAGCGACAGAACTAGAGGAAACGGCCACAAACGGAAGCACCAAAAGTTCCCCAGGAACTTAAGGAAAWKTTTCYYRRCAGTGAGGGTGCCCRAGCCCTGGCACAGGYTGCCYAGAGAGGCTCTGGAGTCTCCCTCTCTGGAGATCTTCCCAACCCACCTGGACGCAGCCTSTGCCGCGTGCTCTGGGTGACCCTGYGYGTRCAGGGGCTTGGAMTGGATGATCTCTAGAGGTCCCTCCCAACCTTCAGCATTCTGTGATTCWGTGATTTTTCTGTTATTACTGCCAGGATCAGCTGGTGACGCTCATCTGAAGAAGCAGACTCTCACTGTAACTCCACGGGCCTGTTTGCTGGCTGCCCAAGGGCAGAAGCACCACGGCAGGTGTCAGACCTGCAGAGGGCTGATTCCAGGGGCAGCTGGACTCGCTGCTGGGGAGTTATGTCCTCTTGCCCTTGAGGAGTTCAGATGCCGGGCCACAATGCAACAGGCAGATCAAAAGGGCATCTCTCAAGCCTCAATATGTGTGAGRGAGAGAGATGTGGCTATCTGTGAGCAATCTCTGAATACTGCATATGCTGCCTGCAATACCCAGACAATAAAACATGTGCAGGATTATAAATTAGTGCTGGAGTTCCCAAATAAAATGCCATTTACCTTCTGTCCAGCACTGCATCTTCCTCGCATGTCCAGCGCCGTATCTCCTTTGATCATTACTACCCTGTAGTTGTAGCTTCTTCTTTTATCAGATGCTGAAACACTCTCATCTGCATCAGAACGAATTTCTATATACTCGATATCTGAAAATGTGAAGGAAAATTGTCCTATTATAAAAAATGCCTACAGACTTGAGAGTCAAAATATACAGATACCTAGAAAACTTGTATTCAGAATTCCCATTGACAGATAAAGCTTGGAAATTTTCAAAGACTGGTAAATTCAACTGGTGCAGTTCTCATATCTCAAGGAAAGTTTAATTTCAGGAAATTTATCATATAACTGCATGATAGGTGATGAAAAGTTAATTTAGTTTAATAAAGTTTCATCAATTTAAATAAGTTTAATAAAAAATATAATTGCGACCAACAAATGTAGCCTTTARAATGCAACCATGTATTATCAGAAACTAGATTTTCATATTTTGAGCAAATGATTTTCAGTGTGCACTGTTCAATATTAAATCTATATGTAAGAGAAAAACTAAACCAAATTATCTACCTTGTCCTCTGTAGGTGCTTCGCCAAAGATCACGAATTATCTTATTGATTTCTTCCATTTTCATGCTATGAAATGTCATTATTGCTCTGGGAGGAAAAAAAAAACAAAAACCAAGCTGTTACAGATGCAGCCAGGGAATGCTAAGGAAGGCAACAGTTTCATTTCATTCATTCATCAATAGCACATCTTCTAAATAGTTCTCCTTTTCCAAATATTTCTGCTAAAAATACCACAAACAGCAATTTATTATTTTGAATGCAGAAGTGTATAAAGACACTGCATCACTGTRAGAGATTGCATTACATAAGTACTTCTGCTCTCATGACCACAGTCCTCCTGCACCCTGCAGTGGCTTCAGAGGAAAAGGAAAGTCCACRAAGTTTCCTCAGGGCACAGAATTCTCCATCAAGAAAATAATTTGTAGTTACCCAAAGTGACATTATGACTGGAGCTACCTTTCTCTTTAGCAGTAACATAGGATATTATTAATACTCTTTTGTTTCTCTGCTTAATATATCAATCATACATGTCTTCAGTGTTCAATATAGATACAGAAACACAGAAGTATCAATAGATATCTCATATAAAATCATACAAGAAAGTAAACAATGCTGCATTTCTAACTTTGCTTTTAAAGAAAAATCACTCATAAAAAACAAAATACTTGACTTAAAATGTCAACATTTCAAAAACTTCAAAAAAAACCCAAAAAATTTCAAAAAACATATATGGTAGGRAGTTCAATACATGTCTGCAAAGGGTTTTTCACATATGCTTTTCCCACCTTCCCTCTTATAAGAATTCCTTCCACATTTTCTGGGGCAAAAAAATAAAAGGCTATTTTCAATTTAACTCAAACACACGAATGCCTTACACATCAATTTATCACCAACCTTCAAATATTAAATCAATAAAGATCAACYGATTGCAGAGAAGAACATACAAAATGTTGGTTTTCCCAGCCTACATACACAGCTTTCAATCTCTGGCTATTAGAAGCAACATTTCGTCTCACTGATTTTTTAAGATGATTACCAATAAACGATGCTTATCTATTTTTCTTGAAATTACACGACCAATTTCCTGCTTTGCCTTAAATAGAAACAATAGATGATTTGATACCATACAAAAAGATTCTGAAGTCTAAAAGGGAAATTCTTGGAGTGCAGTTCCATTTAAAGCTGTGAAGAAAGAATTATACATGCCCTTACCAATATTGGTCTTCATAATACAAAGTCTGGCTTACAATCAAATATAAAATATTTTATTATTCAATTGCTTAAAACAAGGCTCCTCTAGACCATTTTTAATAGCCATTGAGACTACAAATACCGTGAATTCATGACCTTTAAGAATATTACACTAAATATCCGCTGAGTACCCAAGAACTCTTTTTTCTTCTATTCCCGCTCATAGTCAAAATACTTTGGTGGTTCTACCTGTTTTCATTTAAAAATGAAGTAGAATGTGCAGGCAACAGATGCCTTCACTCACCACCACGAGCAGCACAACAAATCCAAGGAATTTGGCACAGAAGTTACAGATGGATGATGCTTTGGGTTCATTTGCTGTTCTCTCCCTGAACTTGTATTGCTGCATTGCAAGGATAAGCCCTAAAGGCACAACCAGAACTCACAAAAGTTCCAACAGAGAGTTGGGAATGAAATGGGGATAATMTATGTCTATATAAACTCTGGCTATCAATGTATTTATTGCATGTAATAAAATTCTATGTAAATAAAAAGTTGTGCTTGGCTATACTATCCTTRTAGTTAAAGGGCTACATGAAGAGAAATAATTACACATCTCAAGGAATTATATCCATTTATTGTTCCTAATTTCTCCTAGAAAGCTGGAAATTGAAAGTTGCTTTGTACCAAGTACGTCAACAGGAATTAAACCTGTTGACATCAAACAAGCTGCCTTCATATGACAGTACTTACTTGTCAAGAGCCTTATAATAAATGTCCAGATCTTTGTTCACCAGCTCTGTTGTTCTCATAACAATCATCATTTCCCTGTATTTTTCCTCTGCATCTTTGAACTGTGACTCTCGAAGCTCCTTTTTAAAACGAACAATCTCTTCCTCGAATCCACGCTGCCGGCCCAGGGCAACATGATGGTTTCTCTTTAGATCTTCTATTTTCTCCTCTAAACGTTTTTGTTCACTGTCAAACCAGATGTGACATTCAAGCCTTTTGTATTTACAATTTCATACTATTTTAGTTATGGTTTTAATTTTGAGTTTACGCTAGGCTGTAGTTTCTTGTACTTAAATTTGTAACAGCCAAAATTACAGTATTAACATCCTTGGAACTAAAACACATTTAGAAGAAAATTACTTTAGAATTTGCTAAAAATATATTCAAACCCTTTTTCTAACTAGGACAAGAAGCTTAATGACCAAAGTGATATAGGTAAAAATACATAAAATAGTTTGATAGCAGGAATTAAATTTAGGATGCTGAGCAAAACTAAGATGAATAACCGGGTAAATAGCAGAAAGCTAAATAAATAACTGCCATATAAGAGCCAATAGAGAGCTAATTCCTGTTCAAGACTGTTTGTCATCTAAGCAATTAATATTAAACTACTGAATACAAAATTTGCTATTGAGATGCACAGGAAGAGACTGCAAACAAAAAACAGAATATTCTTATCCAGAGAAGGGAGTTACTATTTACATGGGAATYTGCAAGTGGAAGTCGTTAAAATGAAAGGGTTAAAACGAAACAGGTATGTGCACATAGGCATATTTTTAGGTAGAAGTGCTATATAATTTCACTAAGTCATGTTTTTGTTGTTGTCATAGGAATACTACACAAACAAGAATCTGAAGGAGGAAGTGATTCTACATCAATGGAAGAAAGGTGGGCCAGGAAACACATGTAATACATAATGAATATCACATACACGTATTTACTGAATGCGCATGGAAAATATGATCTTTTGCTTCGAAGATCTTATGATGTGCTTACTTTTTTGTCTGCAGGACTTTCATTTCTCCTTTCTCCTTCATAAGCCGTTTTATTTCGTCTTCAACTTCTTTTAGCTCTTCACTTCTTTTCCTCAAAGTAAGATTATCCTCTAGCCATCTCTCTTGTATCTAACTCCACAGAAAGTTGGTTGTTGTTTAATGGGCTAAGTTTTATTCACCCCATTTTTCAGTACGATACAGACTTACAGTGATGAAGTACAAATCCCACACAACTCTGAAACYTACTGCAAGCATAATATAATTGGTAGCGCTGAGAACTGTCACGTGTATTTTAGGAACTTATTTTATGCTAGAAATAGGGTACAACTTTTACAAAATTGGTTCTCACGGGTCATCTGCATGTGAAATTTGAATCAGTGCTTCAAATTGGGAAAGTTATTTGAGACGAAATTCAACAGAAGTTCCCCACCTCAACTCTACAGTAAGTGCTGGATAAGGGGAATCTCACCTTTCCTATAGAGGATGTGAACAGGATTTGAGAAACCAAGTACTTGACAAAATCTAAAGTGACCAGCAACTTCTGATACTTGCTATCATGTATCACACACACCTCAGAGCAGTCCTCTTTCAAGAGGCTGGTGTTCTCCAAACAAAGCCAGCTTTAGAAAACATTGGCCATTATCACAATAGACTTACCCTTTTTGGAAATACCACAAGATGAATATCAAAGATAAACATCTTCAACRATGCATCTATTTTTACATACCTAAATTTCAAGATGTTTTCAAGCCTAACGCACGTACAGCAGCTACTCTAGCCGATTAACTAGAAATCAATCAACTAGAAAACTTTATAGAAGCACGAACTTATGSAGGATTACATCAACACCAGAAATTATTTCAACTATGCAACATATACTTTAAGATAATGCATCTACCTTTTGGGTGTCTATATCTTGTCGAATCATTTCCATCTCTTTACTTATCTTTTCCTTGTGTTTCTCACAGGCAGCTAACTGAGAATTTACTTCCTCGAGTTCAGATTCCTTTTGCTAAAGAAAGAAAATGATAGTAGTTAAACATTGAAAGTTTGCATTAAACTCACTTTTTAACTTTTCCTTTTAATTTAAGATTACCTTTTTATAGTCTTCTTTTCCATGTCGAATGTAGTCATCAATTTCTTTCATGTAGTTGCTTATATTTTTAACTTTCTCTTTTATATCATTTATCTGCAGGGAAAAGATTTCTACTAAGATACAGTCTTCTATACAAGAACTGACATTCACTATACCAAAGATGAAGTGTTATATTCAAATATTTTCAACGTACAAGTCCTAATTATAACGCCCTTTGATGTATTAAAGTCTTTACTTTTGAAAATAGCACGAAAATGTTTTGCTAAACAAATGGCAAATCACTCATCCAYACTTAAAAGGAAGGCCGCTTCACCYGAGAAAGAGTTTTTGCCTCTTGGCAAGAACAGGTTCTGCTCATCCTCACTTCTTAACATCAAAACTCATGAATATTGCCAAGCGTCCCTAGAAGCCCCTTGACAAGGCTGCCAAAGGAGTAATTACGGCTGAGCTTGTTCCTGACTTAGCTACATTTCCTTTATTCTCCAGAAGTTCTAGAAATAGAAAGCATTATCTAAAGTCACTGTTATTTCCCAAAAGGCCGACTCATCATCATGGCCTTCCTTCCATATCTGAAAAACAATATCTAAGCATATTTCCCGACTGTGTCAAAAGCAAACTAACCTTCTCTTGCGTCTCCTTATTGCTCACATTCTTTTTATTAATTAGGTCCTCCTTCTCCTGCTGCAGTTTTTCTAGAGTTGCATTCAAAGGAAGAACCTGCTCTTTTGCTTCCTGAAAAACAGTGGGAAATAATATGTCTTTTTCATTCTCTTGCTCTGTTAAAGATAAACAATTTTTCAATTTTTATAAAGGCAAGCATAGTTTTTTTTCCTCTGATGTTAAAAGCAAAAACACATATTAATGAACTGCTCGAAGTTTCCGAAGATATCCAAACCAGGACAAATATTTAAGAACGTATCTTAATTTGAGATCACAGGAAAATATAATAAGTTAAATACAAAAATGTTTTTTTTTTTTTTTTGCTAGTACAACAAAGCTAAGGAWTAGTAGCTAAAAGTATTCCCTACCTTGATCTCTCTATGTAAGGACTGAACCTCGGTTGTTAATTCCACTGTTTGCTCCTCCAGTTGCCGCCGACGCTGCATACTGCTGGAAATCTGAAGTTTCTCTGATTTAAGTTCATTAACTGTACTCTTCAGCTGTTGGATCTGATTTTGCTGGTCTTGCTTAAGCTTTTGATTTAGCTCAATTTTACCAGTAACTGCACATGAAAAAAAAAAAAAACCCACAATGACAATCAATCTGTTATTAGTGAAATTGCCTTACTTATGAAAATGTAAGTGCAACTTAAGCTATTATAACCAAAATTCACAAAACAGTTTTCTTAAAATGGCTAATAAGTAAACTAAAAAACTGAAATTTATATGACTGCACTCTTTGAACATTTTTCCCTCTACAAATGAAACACACTACCAGTTTTGTATGGCCTACCTGTATCCCACAAGTGTTTTTTTTCTTGTTTTTCTTGGCTTACTTGCAGAACAGTTCTATTTAAATCAACTCCTATTAGCTTAGCAGCCTGCTGAGCAATTTTTCTTTCAATATCCCTAATATCAGTCTGAAAATAAGAAGAAAAGCACTATTTTTATTATACAAGTGTTTAGCAACTTATTAATTAATTAATAGCTTTGGCAGAGAGAAGGAAGCATAGAGTTTGAGGCACTTATGAATCAAGAGCCCTCCAAATCTATCTCCTCTGCTGGGGCGGTGTCTCATCACTCAGATGGCCCAGACCAATGGAACAGAGGTGACAGGATTTATCACGTACAGCAGGGTCCAAACAGAGAATGTACTTGAACCAGAAGGACAGGAGGCTCAACCGTGCAAACTGAGAAGCAAGGCACTGCATTTGCTCTCCTGCAAGCAAGGTGTGGTAACTAACTCCTGCACAAGGGAGYCCTTTTTCCTGGTTACTATAGTACAGAAGCGAGTCAGACCTCGAGAGATACTGTGATCCTCAAAAGCAGAAATCATTACATGAAATGTCACATTTTATTAGTAACAACATCATCTGTGTTACAGGGTTTTTTTTTTTTTTTTTAGGTATTTTTTACCAGCTTTGAAGACTCCTATGACTTTGAAGTTTTGTGATATTACTAGAAACTACATATTTAGACTGTAGCAAGTGACTATCATTGTATACGTTCAAAAAAATTACCAAAACATACCTGGTACCTTTCTATAAGTGTTATGTCCTGTAAACATGCCTTGGCACTGTCTTCCTCAGACAGAATTGTGTGCAAGAGTGTTTCCTGTTCTTCTATCTCATTTTTTAAGCGTGTAAAATCCCTGTTGACACTTTGGAGCTTGTTCCTCAAGCCTGGTATTTCCTTTTCCTGGAGTTCAGTTATGGTTTGCCTTAACACACATAAAATAYAAATCCATAAATATTTGTCAAACAAAGCAGCCAAAGTTAAAGACATTCAWCATCACAAAATCTGCGATATGATTTAATAGTGGAAGACTAGATTTGGACAAAAGTAGCATTCCCTTAACCTTGTTCATGTTTGAGCTTATCTTATTTCTCCAACTAAGACAACATATTCCTCTCATTAGACAGATTAGAGAAGCTGAAGTCCAGAAGGGTTTATCAAGTATAGCAAATCCTTATCACAGGGCTGAAAAGTCTACTATACAAGGCTGCCCTCTTGTGAAAGAAAGGCGTATCCTTTCATTTTTATTTTCTCTCTYTTGCAGCAGAAGTCCTAACTAACATTAACCAAACCAAATTCTCTCAAAACAATCCAGAAGTTCCTTTCTAGAAGATCATAATTCATGTAAAATTCTCAGCAACAGCAAAAGATAGTTAAAGTATTTACAGACCAGGATTACATTGAAATGTCTAGCACAGATTCAGTAACTATTCTGTCAATAAAGTTTCCGTTTCAGCACTTCTGAGAAACATATTCAAGCGATGCGGTATGAAAACACTTCAGTAACAACAAAACCAACTTCTTTTAAATTAAAATGAGARAAAAAAAAAAGAAATTGTTCTTGTATAAACATCAGCAGAAAGTGTTTAATCACTTTCTGCCTCACCTTGATGGGATGCCCAAAAGGACCAGAAATACTCAAAAAAGAGTGGTCTAAGCAAGCAAAGAAAAAGTATGCACAAAATACTAATCTCAAGGATTACTTTTTTGAATGAATTACCTAATTCTAAAATAATTTTCCATTGATTTCAGCTTAGTTCTTAGCAAACAGTAAACTACTTGAAAGAAAACAGCTTRCAAGAGAATGGTTTGGTCAGGACTTTACCTAATTGGTTTAAGCCCTATCATTTCATCCCGTTTCTTCTCTCTTTTTTTAAGCTCAGACTCCGTTGACTTCAGCCTGTCTGGAGCAAGACGCAACTTAGACTGCAGATCACTAATTACATCCTGCAGCTCTGCCTCCGTTGGAAAAGCCCTTTGGCAAACTGGACAACACGGCTGATTCTCTTCTGTCAGCTGTGTAATGAACTGGGAATAAACTGCAGTGGCTCCGGTAAGCATAGCTGGTTCACAAAGAATCAGAAAAGAAATATGTTAACTGACAGTGCCGAACAAGATAGACAGGTATGATCATACACAAGGCAAAATAACCTGCAAAATCAGTAGGACTGAAAACAAACAGCCCTGAAGAAGCGGGCCTGACTTCAACACTTTCATTCCACAGCTTGGCCTGGGTGACCTCCAGAGGTCCCCTCCCACCTGAATTATTGCACAAGTTTATTGCCTTAAACTACATTTCTCCTGTAATTCACCGTGGATGCAAGCACTTCCCTCACAAGCCACTTTCTTTCTGCTATTTAAGGCCTTATAGACCAAAACCATGCTATACAGTTTGCTGTGTACTTGGCTTTACACCTGGCACACCTAAGCACTCAAACATTTTGCTGGTTTTGAAAGCATCATGAACTACATATAAATGAGATCAAAGTAGATACTTTATTTACAGATAGTTACCTAAAAGCATCAAAACTGATCCTGATTATAGATAAACCACAAACAGTAGTAAAGGTAAAGGTAAGTATCGTCACAAATATCAGGTAATAATATCACAGTTAGGTCAGTTTCGATGTTGATTATCCTATATTATAAAAACTCATGAACAACAATATATGTCTTTATACTTGTACACAAATTATTTAAAGCAAGCCCTAGTGAAAAACAAAAGTAGAAAGATTGTTAATTTACCTCGTTGTTTTGAACTCTTTTCAATTTCTTCTTGAAGTTTTTTCAGATCACTGTCAAAATCTTGGCTTCCACAAACATCAAAAAGYTTTGCTTCATAATTTGATAATTGTTCTTCTTTTTTTTTCAGTTCAGTGCTGATAAAATTTTTATGTTGTTCTGCTGAAGCTAATTCTTTGCTGAAACATCAATGCATAAACTCTTACCTCACAGAAAACCAAAAATTATTTTGAAACATGTAATGTAAGTACAAATAAAAACTCAGAATGTGCTTACCACCAGCTTTTCTTTAAAAGGTTTCTCAAGAAATTTACAGGATAAACCTTCAATTCATTTAAATATTGCAAGAAGTGGTACCTTCTACTTTCTCTTTGATCTCATAGATTCTTCTTTTCTACATGCTTAAGTAAACTCATTTATAAAATCAGGCCCACACAAAAGGCTTTCTAGAATGATACAATCTAAATTTTTGATTACGCACTCTGTTTGCCAGAGCATATCCGAGCTACCACTGAGCTACCTGGACAGAGAGAGCATTCGGATCATTCCACTATGTTCCAAATTTCTGAAATACTCAATATTTTTAGACTCCAAGGTTTGTATTCAGATCTATATGGAGGAAAAAAAATGCCAGAGTTGCACCTAAGACATATGTAGGGTTTTTGATTTTGCAGAAGCTGGATATGCATCACTTGCTCTTTCTGACAAACTATATATTTCACCAAATACATCACCAAAGGAAACCAGGGACATTTAATCACACATGGACTCATGACACTTCCACTAACCGTTCTACGATCTGTAAGAAAGYCAGAAGGCCAGCACCTTTTCCTCCCAAAGAAAATTCATTCCGTTAGGATCAGCATAAAGAATTAAAAATATTTGAGAATAATATTTTGCTAACTATTTTTAGGGCTGTCTTTGATGTACTATAAGTGTAAGTGATTTAATAAARGCACAAAATCTATTATCTATACAAAAAACTTTGCAGATACCTATGTAAGGAAAAATGAAGTATAAATGGMAGCATATTAATCATTCTAATATTGAAATTAATAATTTCTTTAAAAACTTCTGGAGACAACAAATTAATTTAATACCTACTTCAGTTTGGCAATTTTATCCCTTGTCTGATTAATCTCTTTATTTTTCCCATGAAGCCAATCTTCAAGTTGTTTTTTATTTGGGAAGTATCCCAACAGCAATGACAACTCATCACAATGTCTTGATTTTCCTTTTCTAATTTGTTCCTCTTTCTCTGCCTGGGAAACAAAGAATTTTAAATGAATGTATTCATATACAAAAGTTTGTAAACAAGCCATTAACTCCTTGAAGGCACGGAGTGAAATAGTCAGATAAAAGCTATATATACACTATTATATACTATATACAGTATACTATATACTATATATAGTACTATATAAATAGTATTAAAAAAGAACAAAAAAAACCATTACAAGTGAATGTTTTAATTTCATGTCTCTTTCTTATGAGATAATGATATAATTACTTTGTCTTTCTGCAGCATCTCCATTTGGGTGATTGCTGTAGTGTGTAGGTTTAACTGCTCCATCTCCTGATCCAGCTTGCGGAGTGCCCTGTCCAGGTTTGTTTTTTCACTTTGCAGACTTCTGACTTCCTGCTCGAGYGCTTCTACATTACTGTTCTTCTCAGCCTTCGCCAGATCATGTTCCTAAGCAAACAAATGAAAATTCTTAGTGTTCTACCTAAAGAAGATAAAATAAAGATTTTAAACTGTCCAGAAGCATCATCATTAACTGATACAGGATTATAAAGAGCACACACAAAAGGACAAATGCTGTGATGCTGGGATGAGTAAGGTAKATATGAGATGCAGAATTCTAMATTATATCACTAGTCCAACCTGCTSATCCTTTTAATGTAGGTCATAACTACCTGAYTTAGCTTCAAGAAGCTCACTCATATTTAATTTGATTCTCTGCATTTTAGCRTGTACTGAACGTTATACACTGGAACTACCCTAGTAAGGAGGCTAAAAGAAAAACCCYCAAGCACTGAATTCTTACAGTGCAAACAAATAAATATAAATACTTATCTACAAAAGTATAATCAGCTCTTCAAGAGAAAAATAAATTGCTCTTAACCTTATAATACTTTATAGGATAAAACACTTATGATCACCTACTCCCGTTCACAGACAAGCTATCTGCAAATGSAGCTAGAATAGCATTTTAAGGCATATATTTTTCTGGTCCAATACTTTAAGACTGACCAACCACGTGGTGTAAAAAGCAGCCATTCTTACTACGCTATCAACAAGTGACCAAGCAGAAATACTGCATTCTCTGCACGYACTGCACAAAAAATAACAAACAGGCTTTTCCTCAAACAGTCAGACATCTAAAAAGAAAGACAAAGGGAAGGTATTAAAAAAGAAAAAATGCAGCAGAGATTTGAACTCCCTTTTGGGATAAACATTATCCTTTGCCTGATAARTCGAAAATTTTGTTTCTTATCTTAAATTTTTCAGCTACATTAACTTACTGCCTTGACAAGCTCTTGGTCCAGCTCCAGAATTCTGTCTGAAGACCCCTCCAACTGCTGCAATTCATATTTTACGTTCTTCAGTTCAATCTGTTTCTTATTTTGAATATCTGATTTCAGGTCAATGGTTCTTTCTAATCCCGTCTTCTTATCTCTTATTTCATCTATCAGCTTTTGCTTTGTGGCTTCTTTTTGTGCAAAGGTTCTCTGGAAGAAGTCAAGAGCAATGTGTTAACTGAATTATCGACTATAGTTACATTTTTTACAGGAAAAGCACATTTTGAAATATTTCTTCATGCTAGTTTGCAAATATTCRCCATTGTAACGCAAGACATTGGCATATTCATATTATTAGAACTTGACCTTACCATTAATTGATTTGCAGCTTCTATGTCTCTCTCCTGTCKCTCCTTCAACAACCTGTGAAAAGTGGTAATCTGTCCTTCTTTAAAAGGTGCTCGCTCAAAACCCTCTAATTCCAGCTGTGCTGCCAAAGACTGAATTAACGAATCCCTCATTGTTATGTGTTCTTGGTGACGATCTGCTTGCAGCTGAAGGCGACCTTGGCAGAAAAGAAAATGTGCCACAAGCCCCCAAAAAATGCATGAACCAAAGACAACGGCAGTTATTTAAGCTTTCTAATTTGAAGTACTTATAAAGAATCCAAAAAGCTAGAAGATATTTTGAGATTTCCCCTTTTTAAATCCAGTCTTACTGTACRACCTTCATTTGCATGGTACACAAGAGAACTCATCCAATTAAATTTCAAACCAGGATTACGGCCATTACTGCCTTGTCAAGAAACCCTATAGCCTATAGAAAAGTTAGCCTGCATTTTGCACAAATTCATATAAACTTCAAGAAAAATGCTTTGTCTTTAATTAATTTCCCAAATGATGGGATACTAAGGCAAAGTGCAGTAACTGCCCATAAACACATGAACTATTCTCATTAAGCTTTTATGTAGGACTCTAGGTCCACAGTCATAAATGCAATATTGCAAAGAGTTCAACATATGTAATATCATATAGCAAACTGACAATCTAACTTATTTTTCTTAAATCTACACAGAGTTTAAAGTAAAGCAAAAAATCTATTTTGGTAGGAAAAACAATCTCCAAATGGCACAACTTCCTAGAATTTCCAATGTAATTATCACTCCATTTGATTACTATTACTGTTTAATTATAGGACCCATTGAAAAATGCCTCTTTTATATATCATAGCATATCATCAACAGTTCTTCTAAAACCGGATGTGCAACATGGGGAAGAACATTATCCCAAAGCTTCCAAACAGTCCCCAGTCTAAGAGACTGAGGGCGACAGGCACTTGCATCATTGTCTTGGCTAAAAGAGACTCCTACCAGCACATCCAGYCTAGCTACCTGACCTTTTCATAGCTTAGAGAAAGTATAAACTCAGACAGTGTGAAGAATTGTGTTGTGAAGTGCCATATAAACCTTGTTCTAGGTCACCACACTCTTCTATTTGGAGTATTTCTAWAAAGAATAGTCCATTTAAGAACAGATGTCTTATATGCTGTAATTACGGCTCAAAACAAGACGTGCACATTAGAAATTACAGGTGAAGAACTGTAAGAGTTGATCATCTGTGCGATTCCAACAACTTTCTTGTGCAGCTGATATATACACTTCAAGGTTGCTGACCAGTTCAAATCACATCAATTCTTACCAGTACTTCCATTTCCAACTCAATTTTTATCTTAATTATGTTAAAAATGAGTTATAGATCAAGTCTGAAATACCTCTTTCAACAAGTAATTCCGACTTCTCGCTGTTAAATCTCTGGCACTCTTTAGAAGCTCTGTCTAGTTCTCGTTTACAATCTAATAATCTCTTCTCCTTTTCCTTCACTATTTTCTGGTGGTTCTGATATCTATCCCTAAGTTGTTCATCTGTTCCTTGAAAAATCTGTACAAGAAATAAAGGAAATAATGAAGTTAGCTTTTTAATTAAATTTATAAGCCATAAGTTTTATAAGCCATAATTTATAAGTGGAGGGATCAGTTAACAAACAAAAAAAAACAAACAAAAGGCAATAATATAAATATGATTCCATAAAGATGTAATTGACATTAGCAAGTTCTTCACCAACATCCAATGCATAGTAATATATATACTTAATTCCTGGGTGGCAAAAGAAGAATCACGAAACTTAAACAGCAACCTTTTCCATTTTCTGTTGCAGATCTTGATTATCTTTTTCCATCTGCTTCTTCCTGCTCTCCAGGGCTTTTATGTCATTGTCTAGTCGCATCACTTTCATGAGATTCTGTTCCACTACTGCCAGAGAATTCTGCAAAGGAAAGAGGTAAGTAACAGATCTTACTACTTTAAAAATCCCATAATCACTGAAGTCTATACAGCACTCAATAAGCAGAACCTAAAGCTTTAATGAAGAAATCTGAACAAAAAAAAAAAAAAAAAAAAAAAAAAAAAATCAGCTAAATTTAAGAAATGGAAATTTTAGATTAAAATACAAAGAAATATTGGTGCTACGAAATAGACTACAGCTGCAAGGACTGTCTAGGTATATTTGATTCAATTTCAGGGTAAATAATAACATACAACATGAAAGTTTAAGATTTTAATCAAGGAATTCAACCAGCTTTTTGTGTTTATATGTTCTTATGTACTGCCTCATATTGGAGTTTTAACATAATGATCATGTAAATTACCATTAGCAGGTCAAGTTGACTTTCAACAGATTTTACATTCTCCTTAGAAGCAGCCAGCTGAGCCTCCCTATTGCTAAGCTGATCCTGGATTTCACGTGCTTTTTCTCTATTCTGCTTTAGATATTTCAGTTCTGTTTGACACTCTTTTACTTTCATGCTTTGTTTCAGTCGAACCTGACGGAGAGTTTCGAGTGCTTTAATATACCTTAAAAAGAAAAAAAGAAAAAATTCAAATCCTACTGGCAGTATAGCAATATTTACAACAAAATAATGCTCTAGACATTTTCACAAATATCTGTGCTATTAAAGAATATTTTTTTCTTATTTAATTACAGAAAAGAGAGAAAAACCTTGTTGCTGAAAAGATCTCATCAAACTTTTGTTTTAGAGCCTTCCCTTCACTTAAGGGCCAGTTGGATTCTTCTTGGTGACAGAAAATGACGTTGTTAATGACGGACTTGGAGACACCAAGGGCGCTGATCATCTCACGATCAATTTCTGCACACTTGGAGCTAAGACTGACCTTCTCGCCGTGCCTGCTTAACACAGATGAAGAAAACACACAGTGAAGTTAAGAGCAATTTGATTTAAAAAAAAAAAGAACTTTGTATTCAAGAGAATAAAATTGTTCCAATGCATTCACTCTAAAACTTTATAACAAATCATTTTGATGAAAGCCAATGTTCCTCACCCCTGATTTTTCCTTTACTCCATTTTTAATTACTAAGCATAAAATTACTACTTTCAGTAAGTGCATTTCACACAGCAAAACTTTTCTTTGTCAAGACTACTACCTCTTGAAAAACTTCTTAAACCACCAGAGGAAGCAAAACTTATTTAGAAGAAAAAGTTAAGTGCTTCCTCTTTTAAAGAGTGGAGGCAGAAATTAAACATGGATTTGGAACAATTTGTAACTTAAAATGGTGCTAAAGAAATTAAAACTTGTATGCTGCATAGAACACTGCTTTCAAACCACACTGTTAGTAATAAAATATTCAAGTAATCTTACCTCAGCAGACAAAAGTAATTTCTAAAACAATGGTTTCCAAATCTCCGAATTCTGAGTCAACTAACAGATTAAGTGATTAAGCTACATAGCTTAAACCTAGGAGTATAAATAGCATCTTTTCAACAACTACATGAAGTTTTCTTGGCTTATACATAAAAATATAGAAGATAAACCAAACTGATACTCATGAAAAAATGACAACTTACTTTGTTCTAGTAATGACACTTTCAAGTGTTTTAAATTCTGTTTTCTTGCCTTTCTGGGTACAAACCATGGATCGCTGGACAGCCACAAGTTCTCCATTAACATCTCGAAACTGCAACCGAATCTGAGCTCTAACATCTGTTTCATTGGCAACCTTTAGGAAAAAAAAGAGAAAAAGCCTGAATAAAGGAAATTCTTCTTGACATCCAATTGAATGTGTGCTTTTCATACTGCACATTGTTGTAATCTTTTATTATCTCACATGTCCCTGCTTTTCCGGGAAAAATAATGTCAAAGAACATCTGTCTAGCACTTTTGCATCCCAATTTTCAATTTGGTGGTAAACAAACACAAATCACTACGGCTTTTACCTTTGGGTCATGAACAAATGAGTTTCCCTTCGTTCCGGGAGGAAAATCTCCAGTGGATATATATTTAAGGCATTCAATAATAGTCTAAGGAARTAAAAGTATATGTTAATAATGACAACTTAGAGTAAACAAGATAAACTACAGACAGAACACAGTAACGGTCCCTATATATTTGCAAATAAGAGAATAAAATGACATTTTATTTTTGAGTATCACAAGAACAAGCTACTTCATGAGAACAATTCTGCACCTGGATCAGCTTCCTAAAACAAAAACAAATAAACAAAAGGCAGTGCTTGGCAAATGACTTGAAGTCTCATAATGTAAAGCATTGCAACGTATATGGTAAACTGCAAGATTTTTATGATTTTAATACCTTTGTCTAGAGACTATTCTTTGCATTTTAAGYGCTTCTAAAGTTATTTATAGTATAAAACAAAACATTTAATAAGCCGTACCGTTTTTCCCGCACCATTCGGTCCCACCAAAATAGTCAATGGACTGAAGAAAGAGATAATTTGCTTGTCTTTATCCTCCACCCCAAAACTCCTCACTCCGAGGATACTCATTTTCTCAATCTTTGACATTTTTGCAGAATATTTTTCTTCTTTTAATAAGCCAGAAACTTAAATGTCCTCAACCCTACAAAATAAAGGTAAGCAAAAAGAAAAGTAGCAGAATTGTATCATATCACTGAAAAACGACAACGCACATGAATAAGCACAGAATATGTCTTTAGAAGCACTGCAAAGCTTCAATTTTGGCTGCAGCACGTACTAAGGCAAAATGCAGTTGTTTAATGCTGAGAAGCCAACCAGCTCAATCAGCAGACCTGCCACTGTATTTACCACTGAATCTAAACCATGGCAAATATATATACATTTATGAGATACGTGCACCTACCTACACTTAACAAACACTATGTACATGCGCTTGGAGTGCTCCAGTCCCTGGAGGAGACGGGAATTCTCTGTCAGGAGCCGTGCGCATCCATGGACCTGCACATTCCCTGGGCCTGCTCTGCTGCTGCTGTCACAGCGGTGGCTCCTCCAAGCAGCTCCTACCCTCACGTGCAAGGAATATTGTTACTTAGGGATATTTATGTTTATTTACGTTACATACGTTATTTATGGATATTTAACATGCAGATTTAAGACACACAGAGGTCGGGATCCACGCTGGTCCCTGCAGGCCGTGCAGTCCTGGGACAGCTTTGTCTCCAGGCCGGAGCAGGGGCCGCTGTGCAGCCTCCCTGGGGGTCCCCGCTCCCAATTCCCTCAGGATTCTCCCGGTGTCCACTGGGATTCCTCCCGCTTGTTCCCAGGCTCCGCCACCTCCGGGGCGCCCCCGATCTCCGCCGGGGCACCCGGCCGGGCCGGCACACCGCGGGCCGGGGCGCTGCGGGCCGGGCCGGGCCGGTGCCGGTGCCGCTCGGAGGCGGGCAGGGCATTTCCTGCAGAAAGCCCGCGGGTGGCGAGCGGGGCTTTCCCCCGAGAGCCCCGCGCCGAGCCGCGCCGAGCCGCACCGCCCGTGGGCGCCTGTTTCCACGGGCAGCCGCCCGCGGCCCTTCCCCGCCGCCGAGCCCCTCCGACCGCCGAGCCCCTCCGACCGCCGAGCCCCTCCGAGCCCCGAGTCCCGCCGCGGCCCCCGCGCCGCTTCCCGCCGCCCTCACCTCGGCCCGCGCGCCCGGCAGCCCCCGCGGCCTCCGCTCCGCCCCGGCCCGGCCCGGCTCCGCCCCGGCCCGCGGGCCTCGGGAGCGCCCAGCGCCGAAATGAGGATTTTTAGCTAAAAATCCGCGCTCCGCGGTCGCCGTGCGCCCTGCGCTCGTCCTCGGGCCTCGCGGGGCCGGCGGGGACGCGCAGGCCTCGTTGGGGAACGTCCTCTTCTTTTTTTTTTTCCTTACATTTTACACCAGATAGGATTCAAAAAAAAAAAATAAAATTAAAAAATCACCATCCTTGCTATTGCTGGAAATGGCATATAAGCCTATTGCAAAGAAGTTGTGTCGCCTCCACTGGCAATTCCCCTTCTTACGCATCTGAAAACTTCTCTTGTGGGTCAGCGCTTGTCTTGTGCAAAGCGAAAATCTGTTGCAACAACTTTTTTTTTTCAATAAAAAAGATTTCTCTTGGTCGACAGGAAATGGTGTGAGTGATTTTTTAGCAATTTATATAATCTAGAATGACATACGAAGAAAGTAAGCCTCCTTTTCCCCACTAAATTATCGCACAAATAGGTATTATTGCCCCTCAGATTCCTTCTGCATGTGTCTGAAGGGAGCTCGATCAGTAATAGCTGAGGTTCCCTGCGGTCCCTCGCCGCTAAAGGGACCTGTTTTATACTTCTCGCTCCTCACGGTGCTAATGGCCTGAATTGTGTTTCTCAGAAAAAYGAGAGGAAACGGAGGAAATAAAAACGAAGAACCGCTGTCCGCAACAAGGGCCCCTGTCCTGAAGCAGGTAGCCCAGGTACAGCTGAGGTCCTGCTCTCARCGGCAAAAAAAGTGGTGCAACAGCAGCAATAAAACAGGAAAATAAAAGGGATTGTGTGTATATCCATTAYTGGGTAATGTAATGTCAGACACTGCATTGGCAGAGCTGCTCTTGCTGTGAGGGCTCAGCAGAATGAGCGCGTAGAAGTTCAAATCACTTAAAAATGTTTATTTCTTACCTTGAAGTAAAGGGGGAAGGAGAAGATAACCACTTCCTCTGCAATGCAGAAAAACATTGACCACTGTTGGTTATCTTCTAAACCATTATCTGTGCTTTCTGGGGTACCTATGAAAATGTGAATTCTCAACYGTGTCCGTTTTCTGACATGAATGATCTTGAGGGAGTTTGTTCTATGGCTTCAACACACCCGTCTGTCCCAGCAAAGAATCTGAGCCAACCCCTGCACTTTKGAAGCTCTGGGATTGTGAGCCAAATCTGCGTTTTTACTATGGTCCCTGTTTCTGTAAGGAGGTAAATCTCTTGTGATTTTATATCACCGAATAATGATAATAACAATCACAAGCACAAAGAGCATGAAGACGACACCTATAGAGAGCATAGGGATAATACAATGTGTGCAGAGATGTATCGTTGGATTTAGGGTGCATAGGCTGTGGTTATTGCACAGTTAGTGCCAGAAAGTACTTCTTAATCAGAGATGATGTGAAAATGCATGGACACAAAGAGGTGGGAAAGAAGCACTGGAGTTTGGAGGGGTATCTCAGAAATTTTGGGACTGTTTAGGGGGCTAGAGGAAATTTCAAGGTATGAAAAGGGGACTCAAGCTCTTTGCTTCCTTGGCCCCATAAGCTTCTTCTACCTGGTATGTTCTTCTACCCCAKGTACCAAGCTTCTTCTACCCGGTAGAAGAAGAAACGCACCAACTTTCTCCCACATCCAGTGCCAGAAGCAGCTCTTCCCCRTCTCCCAATAACCTCTGCTTATCCGTCAGTGAAAAAACAGAGATCCTGCCAAGACAGAAAGCCAGAGGACAGCCACTTCCTTCTTCCTCCACAGCTTTCTTGTCCTGCTGCCGAGGATGGGGCCGTCCCTACGTCCTGCGAAGCTCTTCCTCACAGCCCCAGGCCTCCTCCATGTCCCTGAGAGGTAAACCTGGCCAGCTGCCAGCTCCGGCGGGCTCATTTCTCCAGGCTTTTGGCCAACGCCGAGCTTGATTAATAGTTTCCCAGCTTATTTTAGTGCTCGCTGCATTTCCTGTATAAAGGGGAACCAAGCGGCAAGCCTTGTATCAGGTCGGGTTCATGGTTAGCTGACAGGGGCAAACTTTGGAGAAAAGCCCTTTCGCACTCAGTCTCACCATCATCTGCAATGAGAATGACTAAYGTAAATGGCAGATAAACTTAGCCTAGACCTTATCGTGAGCTGGCACCCAGCAGGTGGTTTTGTGGCAAACAATTCAGGCTTTTTAGATGATTGTAGGTTGGTGGCAATCCTGTTTTTTTTTATTATAAAATAAACTGTCAAAACACCAACTACAGTCATTACCGATCTGGAGACAAGAGGAGTTTAGTCCTCAGTTCGTTGGCGCTTACTGGCAAGATGGGCTGTTTGAATGCTGATGAAGTCRATGATAAAATCCCACCCATCTTTCAGAAACAGATGCAGCTCCTCTACATAGATTATACTCCAGTTCTGTGTTGTCCTTCGTCTGTGACTATCTCAGGGTTTGGCTATTCAGTGCCATGATACCATCAGTCTTTGTTATTGCTGCTTCCTCCATGGTCATACTCTTCCACTTTGCTCTCGGATGATATTCAAACATACCCAGATGCTGGAACCATAGTCTGGTCTCTAGAATATTCTCCAAAATGTGTTCATTAGCAGATGAGTTGTTAGTGTTGCTTCTCACAATATTTTCCTTTTTTTTTTTTTTTTTTTTTATACAGTATTTTCCCAAAATCAGTATATATCAGATCTTGAGCTACCGTGCGATTATTTTATGGGAATGATTTCTTTTATCTGTGATTTATCTCCTTTGATGAACTCTCGGCCTAGAAACCAACCTTTCAGAACATGTAAATCTATAAAAGGATGAAAGTGAGAGGCCAAGGAGCAGAAGGGAGCACATGATTCACTGTTTCAAGTCCCCTTCAAAAATCTATCAAGTTCTCTTTTAAAATAAATGGAAACATTAGCTAGAAGACCAACAACCTTTCTTTTAATTTCCAATCAGAACTTCTCATGGCTGGTCTGTTGCCCATTTGAATCTATGTTTTTATATATAAAGTTAATCTTTATATGTATAAATACATTTTATGTATTTATTAAGTTTTACCTAAGATCTTGAGTTTTGAGGACGTTCATCAGTTATCGGTTCCAGGCCAACTTTCCTTTTCAACCCTATTCTTGCCATGTCCCAGGAAACTACGCATCCACCTTAAGAGTTTCAGATCTCCAGTTTAATGAATGATTTAGCATTTGATACGCTATTTTACTAAAACTCAGATATCTCTAATATACTACACGTTCTCCTTAGAGGATCAACTATCTTATCCACGATATCCAGTCAGCCTAGTATTATCAATCCATGGCAACCTGTATATGGACTACCATATTTTTCTATCTCTTCAACACAGCTCTCCTTCCAAACTTGTTCTGAAGGCCAACATAAAAGAAGAGCAGCTGTCACTAGTCTGGGTTGATTTTCATGTGTAATTTAATGCATCACCCCCTTGGGAATTGCAGGATGTAGGTTTTTATTGTCCTCCTGATGTGAAAATTCAGCTCAGATCTGAGCCAGGCCTGGAGGAGGGCAGCACATGGCTAACTCTACCCCAGCAAGACTCATTCTTCCCAAAGACCTACTGATCCAGGCAAATCGTTCTGTTTTCCCTCTCATTTCTTGCAGTCTACCACACCAATGGTAAATGGCAAGTACGTGTTAAGTATGGATGGGAAATCTCACAACATATTTGCACGAAGTAATCTGGAAACCTGGACAATTGAACCTTAAACACTGATGTAGTTCTCTGCCTCAGTTGAGTGAATGGCATTTCACTGGGAGGCTCTTATTCCATAGACACCTTCAGACATTTTTTCCGCTCTACTCCCACATACCTCCCCTAATGTCACAACTCATTTTTTATTCAGATTATTCCGCAACACTCATTGATACCATGACATAAGGAACCGCTACGCTTCTGTCCATGAATGAAGGACAGAAATCAATTTTAGCTTTATTAAAAATAATAAAAATTTTGCCTTTCTTACAAACCCTAAATAGGTGATGTTTGTCTCGGAATGTGATCAATTTAGGGCAAATTTTTCAGTGTTTCAAAGCCAGCTGGGATATTCTTGYGGTACTATAATTCAGATGCTGGTGATCGTCAATAAAACTAATTGCCTATACAGGAAGAATGAACATTCACTTCTCTTGTTTTTGTCAAATATAACAAAGTATATATTCTATTAGTATGCCATATGATAAACTTGCCAATTCCCACATTAACTACTTCTCATAAAACTACGACTACTTGTGAAATATATAWAAAAAAATAAAGTGTGCTTTATATCCGCATTGTGGGTGAGGCCAACTTTTCACAGGACCTGCCTGCTTTGTCATAGGTGCTTCTTGTCCCTCTGCGGAGGATGGTCACAGAAGTCCCTCGTACCCCGCATCCTGTCTCCAATAGTGGCCACATGCTGATTTCTACACAAGAATGTGAGATGTTTTATCGTTCCCCTCCTGCTCTTCCAGCATCTAAATATTTTCAGCCAAGGGG